TATGTATGTATTTCTATTTATGTAAAATATTTGTCCTTGATCGAGTACTTATAAAATTCATGAGCGTGATAAAGTAGGTATTATGTGTTTTGAGGTAAAACTTCAAAGCATGTCCAGATTTTGAATCGTAGCTATACGCTATGGTTACATATCACAAATTTAATAGGAAATGTTCCACATGATGCGATACTTATTAGAGTATTTTTGATAATTAAGTGAAATGTTCAGGAGACATCAAGGAGACAAAATGGGATTCTTACTTCACTAAAACCAACCTGCTGACCAGCATTTTTTATGGAATAAACCGGTAAACGAGCGATCACTTGACGGTATATACCTATAGATATCCAAAACATCAGAGGCGTTACAAATGCGTTGCCGACCTTTTAGGGATTAGGAATTTGAGGATTATAGGGGTTTCAGGGATTGGGGAGGGATATTTGGACCTCGTGTAACCACATCCACACGACGACACACAATGCAGATGTACTTTCACGTCGGTTTTCTGTGAGGCCGTGACTCCGGTCGAGTCGACCCATTCGTGAAAAACCCACACTTGAAGCATACCATCAATATTCATAAGAGGCACTGGGTCCTCCAAATAGCTTAGTTTCTGAACTTGACGATACGATAATAATTATAATGCGATGTACATAATACAGGAGGAATTCTTTACTATCTCGGGCCGATGTTTACAAAAAGGACTAAATCACGCCATCAGACTACGGTCAAGATTATCACGACCCAAAAACTTACAAGAACAATACCATAATTATACCCTTCGACCTTGAACATTGCTACAATATTTTCCTGTCCCCATTTCCTCGTAATGGACTTAAAGAAGTATCTGGTTAACATTTTTGAATAGGAAGCCAACATTTTTAGTTACTTTTGGTAGTAATTTTACTCACATAACATACATAACATAACATCACGCCTTTATCCTCGTAGAGGGTTTTTTTTTAAGGGGGAAAAATCATCGAATGACTGCTCCCGCCTGGGTGAGGCGTGTCAGACTGTTACTGACTAAAAACCACCCCGTTCCTTCTCCTGCACGTCGAGTCGGAGCCCCGGTTACCCGTTAGGTTCTCCGCGACATCCTCGTAGGGGTAGGCAGAGGTGCACATTATGCCACTGTACAATGTAAAACCCACTTTTCACTATATTAATATTTTATGAGTCCCATGTAATAGGGGGTGAGCCAATTGCTAAATACCGGGCATAATTTCAGAATCCGTGCTACTAATGAGATTTTTTTTAAAAACCCAGTATTACTTTGCCCGACCCGGAAATCGAACCCGAGACCCCTTGCTTTGTCGCACATGCGACCACTTGGCCAACGAGGCAGTCATAATGTTACTCATATGAGCATAATATATATACATTTAGACGATTATTATCATAGCAATCGATTTCTAAAAAAGGTTTTTAATGAAAAACTATACACATAGTACCTACTATCATAGTTGAAAGTTTCCATACTTTTCATTTTAGAAGTACATAAAGCCTATATTACCCACACCATACATCTAGCAAATAGACACCAATTGTATTAATTACTCATGGAACTTTTTGTTTGACTGTTTCCAAGCCAGTTTATTGCCAACGCCGTTGCCAAGTCAAGCCTACAACTGATCTATACATTTCAAATTATATCATAAGTACATTATACGTATGACATTGTACATTAGGTACACACATGTCAATATTACATAAAACAGAGTAAATAGAAAATATAATTGTAGTACAACGTTGTTTTATAGTTACAATATGATTAGATACCATCTCTGACTGTATGCTCCATAGAATTATGTGAACTAAGTTTCCTGTAGCTACTCATTAATGTCTTATCACCAAGCGAGACGAGATGTCGAGATTACACAAATAATTTATACAGAGATAATTTGGAATCTTAATTAGATGTAGTTGGAAGTCAGTGTTGAGATGGTGCACCTCACAAGTGTAATATGTATCAAGTAAGTCGTAAACATTTGTTTTTTATTGAGTTTCTTATGATGTGCACGTTGATGTTTGAATGAAATAGGTAGTGTGTATACTTTATGTTATTCAAAAATTGCATCCAATGCTCAGTTCTTATGGATAATTCATTGTTATTCCTGTATTAGTTATTGCGTATTATATTATTTACTAAATGTATAGACTTTTAATCAAAAAAGTAATGACTTTATTACACCAGCCAATGTTTGGTGGAAACGGATATTGTTTTGAAAACTCAAGTCTATATTTTGAAAACCTAGCAACTAGGTAGCGAAGAATGCGAGGTCGTTATAGCAAAATAGTGTTCAGTACCCAGCCCCCCACCAGGATAGGGCAGGCGGAAGGCATTGTATGTTCGCACGGCAGCGCGCGCGCAATCTTTTAATTCACACTATCAGGCGAATCAAAGCACCCTCATGCAAATAATCTTCACATGTCACCGTGCCATTCATATGTACGTTTTGTTTTATTGCAAACATACAATGCATTTCCTACAGGAAATTAATGTTATCCATCTCTAATACCTATGAAGCCTACCATATTCAGTCCATTCAATGTACACCATACAGCTGTAGAGTCTGGCACATTGTGTGCTCAAATCTGAATTTACCATTGAAGCCGAGGTTAACAAGGGCGCCAACCGGCTAAATATCAACATCGGACGATACGGGCACGCATGTGTAAATAGGCACCGTGGTACAATCGATTGGACAAAGTCAATCATCTGAGCGGGGCACAGGTCGCGGCGACCGTGAATCTCGCCAGCGTCCCGTACGGATCTCAGTGGGACCCCGCCTCGCGCGCCGTGCGCTTCTTGCCTCGTATCGCTGCTGACCTCACTACACGGGTGCTTAGTGTATGCTACTCAGTTCTGGTGGTTCATGTGTCGTCACTAAACTATTAATTATGCGCTACCCCGAGTGACTAAAGCCCGATTAAGATCGGATTACAATGTAGAGCTGCCGACCCGGCGAAGGAAAATGTGAGTGACATTTCGAGATCTAGGTGCAATTAAGCGGATGTTTATGTCAATTGCAGATTAGCACAATTCTTAAGCCCATTCAATGGCATGGCACTGGTTAAGAAATAGTAATTTGATCGATATAAAACAATAAAAATTGAAATATCTATCAAAATAGTTGCCTAGAAAACAAGAAAAGAACAATAGTTGGCAATAGTTAACGTGGTGAAGAGTGTGGTGCATTTGCACAGGAAAGAGGGCGGTCGCGAGGAGGAGCCGACCAACGCGGCGGAAGCGGCGCCGGCGCAAGGCATGCGCATAGAACATACTTGCTGCTGCCTCGGCGTGTTGGTGGGCATCTCGCTCATCGCCGGTATGTACACAAACAAAACAGACCAAATATCCTATAGCTATTATGAAGCCAGTATACAAATTTCGACAAAATTTCGGCTTCAAGTCCTTCCCTGTGCAAATATATATATAAATTGTTAAATTGCAAATATATATATAAAAAATATTGATAAACTTCTATCAGGTCCAGGTGTTTATATTTCGGTAACCCCTGATGATACTTTGGTTTGGATATTTCACAGTTAATTGTTCAAAACGATTAATTCAAATTATTCTCCATCAGCCCTCGTAGCAGTGATTCTGATGAAGGATTCCACTGTTGAAGTGACAGAACTCCGTCAAGTACACGTGGTAAGTGCTGTTCTGAGAAAACTATGCGTATTTTGATGATGACAAGAGTGTTTAGAGTTAGCGTCAATTTTATTAAAAATAAGCAATTAATCAATTTTTGGAGCCATTGCGCAAGTCAACTGTTTTTGTTATTGTTTACGGAACAACTGACTAGATTAAGCCTATTCTAGTAGCAAGAGAAGAGTAAAGTTTGCCAACTTCCAGTTTATTCTAACCCATTCAGTGGTTTCCTTTATTGTTTCCCAGACTTCTGTTCAAAGAGTCTAAGATATTAGGAAACTGCAGAATTGCCATCATCATTGTGTTATAACTGCAACATATTTTATTATAGATATTGGAAATATTTTGTCGAAATATTTGAGGTTAGAATTTCGTTTTCAGCTCATGTCACACGGGGAACGCACCCCAAGCGAGGGCGAGCTCGCGATGCTAGGGGCCCCTCCACCTGACCACGTGTTTTCGCCCTACGGAGCCGGCGCTATGACTAATGTAAGTGTCCATACAATTTTCTACTCACCTTGTTACGTTAAATTGGCATCATACAATTTACCACATAAGGCAAATTGATGTGATGAACCTATATTACAGCACGTTGGAATTGGTCGAAATATTTTATCATCATTCTGTTATGTTGAAAATTCATGGGAACCACAAGAGATGTTATTTTTAACAATGGACCTTTTTGGCGTAGTTCCTCGATACATTGAATTAGGTGCTCGCCGGCCGTAACGAATAGCTCCTGACGTGTACAAACCATAACCGCGACACTCGCTGATCAATGGTGATACTGCATTTAGATTACTCATATGCGGCGGCGCTCCTCTCTCAATATAACAAAAGACCACTTGTTGGTCCGTCCTTGTAGGCCGGCTCTCAGGGATATTGGCCCATTGACGAGATTTGCAAAGTAACTAATGTACGTTGCGGTTCGATTTTGAATGACGAACTGGTAGGTACCTTATTCATTCATGAATAATGCATGTACAGAATTGAAGTTGTGGCAATTGCGATGCACAAATAAATACATGCATCGTCCCATGTGTAAACAAGTTAAAAGTATCTGACATGCGACGTAACATTTGCCGGGGCCGTGACAATGAATCTCCGGAACTATAGTCAAGGGTCGGACCAGAAGGACAAGTGAAGACGAATGATTCTGTAACGAAGTGTCCGCTTCCTGGTCCCAATGCGGGAGGGAGTCCCGATAGCCGAAGGTCGCGGCGTGCTCTAAACGGGAACGAAGTGTCGGCACTCACGCAGATAGCCGTCAGACACTAATAATGATTTATTGCTTGTCCCACGTCATACCGCTCTAATAGAAAAGCATTTGCGAGGCGACCGGACTTCATTAATAAAGACGTTGACATTTTCTCTTGTGTTACAGGAGGGCAAGATGTTGACATTTGAAATGGGCGCATTACTTAGGAAGAGATATGATGAGTTTTTGGGACCTTACTATGAGAGTGGTAATTGTTTTTATTGATATAAATGGCTTTCTGCATTGAGGTTGTTTAATTAATTATTTTAATCTAAATACTTAAAGGGGGCCATTTGAATACCAGCGCAAGGCCCAGTCTTGCACATGCTGAACTGGTCCCATTGGACATGTCAGTCAGTGCCTACTAATAGAATAACACATCTGTACATGTCGCTTGTTTATTAGCGCGAAATATTTTTGTTTCTCTTTCTTTCTAAACATGTGTGGTTGTTGTTAGAAAGGAGTATCGTGATATCGTCGGATACAGAGCTGAGTAAGATGACGGCTCTGCTGATAGCGGCGGGTCTATGGCCACCGCCGCCGGAGCAAGTGTGGAATGACACGCTGCCGTGGCAACCCGTGCCTTACACGTATCCACCACGACGCCAGGACTTTGTAAGTATGATATTAATCAGAAGAATTCGGTCAAATAGAAGATTTGAAGCTCTGTAAGATATAAATAGGTCTTAATTTGAGTATAGTTGAGTTTATTTTGTTTTCAAAGCTGCTGTACGAAGAGAATTGTCCTCGTTACAAACAAGAGAAGGAGAGGATACTTAAAGCGTTCACAGAAGAAGGGCTGTTGCAACCGTACCGCGACTTCTTCCATAAGATCGCGCAGATGACCAACACTAACTTCAGCACGCCGCAAGAGGCATACTATTTAAATAATTTATTTCTTATACAGGTTTGTTTGACATTTCTACTTCCATACGTTTCCTGTGACTGTGTTGTATATGCAAGTGAACTATCTAAACTGCTTAAGCGATTTAAAATAAGATAAAGTGTAGCTACTAATACTGTTGTAATTTTGCACAAATTGTGGTATCACGCAAACCACAATTTATTCATTGTAATTATTTGTAATCAGTTTTTCGGAATTGCCTTTAATATTTCTTTGTTTATTGCAGGACGATATAAAGGTAGCAAATCCGAAATGGGCGAAACACGTGAAGAGAAAACTGATGGATGTGGCCCGGTTGGAGTACTCGATGATGTTCCATAACAACTTGCTTAGGAAACTGAGCGGCGGTAAGAATTAGAATATCCATTTCCAGTATTTAATCGTACATCTGTGTGAAGATGGGATTCATGCATATTTATGTCTCGTTAAACTGCACGTGTTTATAAAATGAATTATTAAAAATAAACGGTTTCTATCATTCGACCTTGGCATTCAAATCCAAACCTGTTAACCCAAGTTCGTAAAACATCAAAATCATGTCTGGGATTTAATTAGGACTAGATAAAAGTGGGTTTGTTGATCACTATTAAAAGTCATGTTAAAACCGTTTCTTTGTTTGTCATGTTTTCCCTTAAAAAATTCTCAATATTATGAAATTTTTGGACTAAGAAAAAGTGAGGGAAGCATTTAGGCAATAGAATAATTGGTCCAAAGTGCTGGTTGTTGGTTGTTTCACTCTAAAAAGTCAGGTTAAAGTGAAGACTGAGCTAATCACCTAGAAAGTCTAGCATCTATACAGCAAGATATCCTAAATAAATTATTATGTTTTCGGCTTTCTTAAATAACTATTTGACGAAGCACTGGACTAGTTTCAAGCCATGCTAGAGACTCGTGGAGTTCGTTACGTGAGTAAGCCGAAAACAAAAACTCACGAAAGTTATAAGTATGTATAGGATATCCATTTCTAGTCCAGCTGAACTATGTCCATTTCTAGTCTAATTAAGAAATGACGTCAAGACTAATCCAGTTTATTAAGCACTCTATCAATACCTTAACAAAACTATTACATCTATTCCAGGAGCATTGCTTCAACAAATAATAAAAGAAGCAAGCAGTAATACTGCAGGGGAGTCCCAGCTACGTCTAGTCGTACGAACAGGGACTCCTGTGTCTGTGGCGGCCCTATTGGGTGCCTGCGTGGCTCCTCCACCGCGTCTACCAGACCCAGGGGCTGCGCTATTATTTGAGTTACACGAACGACGCCCTTCACCACAGTCTAATAAGGAGCAGAAGACATTGGCCGAAGGGCAGCGGTTTGGGTTTAAGGTATAGTAATAACTAAACTACTCCTTGGAGCACTATCTTTACCGGATTATGTAAAACAAATGAACATCTAATGTATTTGAGTTAACTGAAAATATCGGTTCTACTAGAACTTCGAGTCAAAGAGGAACCATTCATTATGAGAAGCGTGCGCGATCGCGGCGACGTCCCGTAACCCACTCACTAATACTAAAACTATACTACTAGAATAGTACTAGACCTTCGGGTCTTACTAGTACTAGTAGAGCTTTTTTCAGTATATTAACGTGAGTAAACCGTAATTTTTAGTTAATTTAGTATGTCTCACGAAGTATCGTGTAATCGTGTATCGTGTAACAACTATATTATAAAAACATAATGTGTCTATCGTATATTCCAAGTACCCAGATATCGTCACGTCTCAATTTATGTTAGGTAGAGAGGTATGCCAGCATACCTATTCGCTTTGTCTACATTTAACACTCTTCATTGGCTATTGAGGGTTTGGTTTAATATGTCGTCTATTTAGACATGGTCATGCAAAGCCAACTATGATTAGGTTTACACATTTTTTTAAAAGTAACGACCGCTTCCTAGTGTAAAACTAAGGGTGCCATCTTGCGCATAAGGCCTAACGGGTTGCCGGTGCTCCGGCTCGAAGATCATGAGTAGGGATGGGGGTTTTTAGTCAGTAAGAGTCTGAAACTCCCTCTCGCCTATACCAAGGCGGGAGAAGTCATTGGATGATTTCACCACCTCAAAAAAAAGATCATGCCATCTTATTCCAATCTATTAAAGGTTTTCCAGTTTTTACACTGTTAATTTGACGCTCAAGAGAAGTATGACTTTATTAAGCTATTTTATACTTTTATATTTTACGACCACTACTATTCATGTCTGTTTTTGCTAAGTTCCACTTTATTTGCTAATTAAAACGACCTAGACTCTTGAATACTAAGTAGACATTCTCTTTTTACCATTTAATTTTAAATACAAGTACTTAATGTTCTCTCTTAAAACACAAGAAAGTCGGCCATGAACTGTGACTTCGCGACCGTAAAGCTAATTAGAAATGAGTGCGAAATTGAAGGACATTTCGAAAAAAATATTTTACGACTCATTTGAGAAACTAGAAGTCAGAATCAGTTTTTATTATGTTGTTTTCTTAAAGGAAATATGGTAGGTTGTAATTTAGATGCTAATTATTTTACTATTTTTTATACAGGATTTTTATAAAATTGCAGTGTTAGTTAGAAACGGCAATTGGGTACTTGCCAACTACTTAAATTCAATACTTTTTTCGAACTGTCAAAAATGACAGTTTTCCATGAATTTTGTACGAGATTGTGTATTGCGCCGTCACGTATTTTTAGAGTCAAACAGCGTACTTTTTTCTTAAAAGTTTGCTGGAAAAATACTAAAATTAAGTTGTCCATAAAATCAATTAGTGAAAGTATGATTATTTTTTAATATTTTATTGTATTGAATAGTCGAAATAATTTATTTTTGATTAAGGAAAGTATACCCAATTACTGAAATTAGAAGCCGAATTTGAGAACAGTTTTGAAAACTTATCAATATTTTTAGACTTAGGGTAACAAAGTTTTCATACAGGGTGTAAACAGAACACTCCCGAAACACTGACAAAAAGAAATAGTTTTTACAATTTTAATCGTTTTTGTTTTCGTGTTATTCATGCATCATCAGCCTTGATCAGCTGATCACAACTATTATTACATTTAAGAAACATTTAATTCCTTAATTATAACATAGCATCACGCCTTTTATCCCCGAAGGGGTAGGCAAAGGTGTACATAATGCCACTGTGCTATGTAACACCTACTTTTCACTATTTATGTTGAGTCCCATGTCATAGGGGGTGAGCCTATTGCCATATACCGGGCACAATGCCAGACTCCGTGCTACCACTATATATTTTTTTAAAAACCTGGTAATACTTTGCCCGACCCGGGAATGGAACCCGAGACACCTTGCCCGGCAGTGGCACTTGCGACCACTTGGCCAATGAGGCAGCCTTATTTATATGAAAATAAAATATGTTTTTTACCATCACCTGTTGGCATTTTTCGGGAGCATTCCATTTACAAATTGTAAAGCGTCAGATACTTTCAAAAAATTTCATTTTGCAGATATATTACTGGGACGACGACTCAGCGGAACCTCGCCTCATGGAAGTCCCAGGGTGCAACGCGTTCTGTCCCCTCGAGACTTTCAAGGAGCTAACCAAATACATAGTGACACATAACTATAACAAAGACTGCAGGCTTGTTCCTAACACATAGTTTTATAGTGCGTGACAAATCGACGGTAGGCTGTGGTATTTAAATATGGACTTTATGATTACGATTATAAACTATATTATTGATTGAATTGGTGTTTCACTTACCCTCGTCGATTTTAAGGCCGGTCTCGTCTCGTGGTATGTTGAGTGAGATCTCTGCGAACTCGTCGGCTCCCCATTGTTGAGTGCCTCTCAGTTTGAGGTACTCCGCCATTAGCGCTGCGATGTGCAGTTGGCAGCACATTGCCTGTTCATAAAAAATCAAGTGTGAATATATCTATTGTAATATCCCTGCAGTGATAGAGGAGATAAGATTTAACTGAACGTTAGTATTTTCTATTGAACAACTATACATTTTAGTTGTCATATTTATTTAAACTTGTTATAATTTAAAATACTTGACGTTCGCATCCAATTGAGAATGTTTGATTATAGCAATATACTATTGGAAACATTACGGATAGCAGCAGCTAAGGATGGAAAAGGCTAATTAAAATATAGTCCAAATTATTGATTTTATTACAATGGCCAGGGAAGAGACAAAATATTATCACATGAAAAAAAGCTTTTATAACTCTCTGTTATAAATGTCCACTGCTGAACAAAGCCTCTTCTCACTCGAAGAAGGTTTGAGCATTAATCACCACGCTTGCTCATTACGGGTTGGCGATTTTAAACTTATAATTGATGAAATTAGACGCCCAGGTTTCCTCAGGATGTTTTCCTTCATCGTTAGTCAGTGGTGTCTAAATAATCTTAGAAAGTTCATATAACTTGAAAAAAGTCACATTGACTCTTGCCGTTGGTAGGTTTCGAACCCGCACTTCCATGCATGAGAAGCCTTAAACCTTCGGTCCACCACGAGCACAGTACATCTGTATAGTTACGAGTGGTTACCTCGTCATAGTCCCCCTGCCTGGCGTTGTGGTCGGCGAGGTTGGAGAGCCAGGCGTGTCGCAGGCGCGGCGTGGCGCGGCACGACGCCGCCAGCGCGTGCTGCAGCTCCGCCAGCTGGACGCTGCCTGCCCCTGCGGTACGTAGCATAGCGTGAACAAGCATTTATAACCTTTCAATAAATCTCAATCCAATGATGAACTAACAGTCGAAGTCCACACTAAAATTGAAACAGAACTTTAATACGTTGATATATCACACCGAAAATCCGGTCACCGGTGACCACTTGGGTATCGGGCAATTAAAACAAACCAATTTGTCAAGATGAGGCACATACACATACCGGATTGTCACACACTTATGAAATTGTCTCTATTTTTGGAAGTTGACACGAAAATGCAAATGAACAATTAAAAGTAATTTACCAGAAGCACCGACCCCGCCCACCCCCGCGAGCCGCGCGCGTGCGCCGACGACGGTGCGCACGCGCCGCATCAGCTCCGCCACTTCACTCGACAAACCTGATTACAATTGCGTATTAGAAACATAAGTCAACTTGTAAAAAAAGATCTTGAAATTTTACATAACACGCCTTTTATCCCCGAAGGCCCGAAGAGGTAGGCAGAGGGCACATTGCGGCACTTAATGTCACTATACAATGTAACACCAACTTTTCACTATTTATGTTATGAGTGCCATGTAATAGAGGGTGAGCTTATTGCCATATATACCGGGCACAATTCCAGACACCGTGCCACTATTAGGATTTTTGTTAAAAACCCTATAATACTTTGCCCGACCCGGGAGTCAAACCCGAGACCCCTTGTCCGGCAGCCGCACTTGCAGCAGTTATGAAATTTTATAGAGGTAATATAAGTTGTTCAGGTTCTTGGCAACAACTAGCACCTCAAATATTCTATTACATTTTAACCGTATTTAATAATTTTATTATTTACAAAAGACTGCCTCGTTGGCCGAGTGGTCGCAAGAGTGACTGCCGGGCAAGGGGTCTCGGGTTCGATTCCCGGGTCGGACAAAGTATTAATGGGTTTTAAAAAACTTCTCAGTAATAGCATGGAGTCTGCAACTGTGCCCGGTATATGGCAATAGTCTCACCTATTACATAGGACTCATAACTTAAATAGTGAAAAGTGGGTGCTCCTTCTGTGTGCACCTCTGCCTACCCCTTCGAGGATAAAAGGTGTGATGCTATGTTATGTTTACAAAAGACATGTAAATTATTACAATAAAGTGTTACAAACAATAGATCCTCTTACCAGTTCCCTTCATAGCTTTGTCGCCAGTCGCAAAGCAGTTGATGACAGAGAGCGACTCCTGGAAGCGCTTGCAGTTAAGCGCGGTGGAGTTGTCCAATAATTTCGATACAGCCATGATGACCTGCCACAATATTCATACATTTCAATGCAATTTCACCTACAATAGGTGATGACAGGGTATGAAAATTAAATCGAATTAGTCCGTCCGTATTTTTTTACTTTGTCGTACAAGAAAACAATACTTAGATAAAACGAATTAAAGTTTAGGAGTGGGAGGTAGATACGTCGTTTTAGAGTATAAATCGTACTCAAAAGTGACGTCATGTGATATTTCAAATCAATATATCTTCGAAACTATTCGTTTCTGTAAGAAAATAAAAAATACGCGTCTAATGTTTTTAAATATTCTACCAGACGGACATTAAAAAAAAAATTGTCATCTACCTTATTTAACTGATGGTGATCAATGATATCTAACGTGTATATGGGGTGTAGAATGCCTTCTGGAATCATTAAGTAATAAGTGGCACATCGGTTATTTTTACTACTTATTTTTTATTACTTATTTTCGCCAGTTCTCAAATAAATATACCTACCTAATCTTTGTACTTTAATTTTATATATGTGTTGTCCATGTATGTGTATAAATAAATAAATAAATATGACGCTAGCCTCTAGACTCCACCGTATGAGAGTCCAAACTACAATTGCCAAGCACAGATCGGACGATAAGGCCCAGTGGGAACGCAAGGCTATAGCGAGCGCGTGTGTACCTGTAGATGTACCCTTGTGAGGTCCCCGCCGGCGCCGTGCTGGAAGTTGGCGCGCATGAGCAGGTACAGCGCGGCCGCCGCCTCGCGCCGCAGCCACGCCGCGCGCGCCTCGCACAGGCCCACCACGCCCGACACCACCACCGAGCACACCGTACTACCGCCTGACGACAGTTGTTAAGGCTTTATTATATTATCCTAATGTATAATGCACGCGACCACAAAGTCTGTGGTACAAATTTAATTCTATACAGGCATTGTATTGTGACCTACCTAGAATAAATTAAATAATAAGCTTTTTTTAAGGGGGGAAAATCATCGAATTACTGCTCCCGCCTGGGTGAGGCGGAAGGGAGTGTCAGACTCTTACTGACTAAAAACCACCCCGTTCCTTCTCTTGCATGTCTAGCCGGAAGCCCCGGTTACCCGTTAGGTTCTCCGCGACTAAATAATAAGCTTAGATTAAGTATATATGAACAAGATGGAAATAAATATATTTGTTTGTTTGTTTAGTTATGTTATATTTAGAATATGCCTTGTTGGCCGAATGGTCGCAACTGCCGGGCAAGGGGTCTCGGGTTCGATTCCCGGGTCGGACAAAGTTTAATGGGTTTTAAAAAAAAAATTCTCAGTAGTAGCACGGAGTCTGGAATTGTGCCCAGTATATGGCAATAGGCTTACCCCCTATTACATGGAACTCGTAACATAAATAGTAAAAAGTGGGTGTTACATTGTACAGTGGCATAATGTGCACCTCTGCCTATCCCTAAGGAGATAAAACGCGTGATGTTGTTGTTATTGTATTTAGAAGCTTGTACTATATGTTTCCATACAAAATGAATTTCTTAAATTCACATGTCCACAATCATTCGTACAAAATGTAGGTTCGTTTAACACATATACATATGGGTATAATTATATTATATTTGCAGGTCAATTGTTTTCTAAAAGTGTCCAAGTCTTAAGGAACGCTCGTTTTAATATTAGTAACCTCGAGTCTAGTTTTAGAGTCTGCTATCCATGTGTAATTGTGTAAATGCTAAAAATAGCGCTGTGCGATACAAGATTTAAGTCACAGCACACTTGTTGTGATGTGTTTTTCCTAGGGAATAATAATGTACGTACTTACCTTCAAACAGAGTCTCAGAGAACTGATTAATATACGCTCTCAGAGCTGAAAACAGGTGTTTATACAAAGTCTCGCTCTGTGGGTACTGCAGTAGTTTGAGATAGGGCTTCGCCGCGACCCCGTCAGCCGCGCCCAGGTTCTTCATGAAGAGACACGCGCGGTCTATGATGGTCAGACCCACTTCTGTAGCGAGGCAGCTCGCTGATAGCACTGTATGTTCCGCTATTGCCTCCAATTCTAATAAAAATAAGAAATGTTTAAAGCATAATTATTTTTTTATTATTTATGAACAAGAATGGTTAAGTTTATATTAAAACTTACTATTTTACTTTATATTATATACTTTATATTAAAACATATTAAATTAATTAATAATTAATTTAGTATGGCGTAGGCGAAAACATAATAATTAATTAAGAATAGTTAATTATAATAACATAAATTAAACAGTATCCATTTCTTCTTTTTTTCTTTCCTTGAAAGTAAAAAATTGAGCCAAGGTGAGCATTAAGAACTTTCTATGAAACAGAATACTTAAAAAAACCATCGCTAGTCGTACGTTGAAAGGGGAAGGGCTGTTTAATATGCTTTTAAGGTAAAATCACTCACCAGTAGTAACAGATGGATTAACAAGATTTTCTCTATTAACAGTATTATTTTTCTCCACGACTATTGGTGGTTCCTTTGAAAAGTCGGGCGGGCTCATCCTGGCGGGTAACGTCCTGGCTTTTACTGGCTTTGGCTTGCCATTGCAGTCCGGTGTAGTTGCTTTCATTTCTGATAGTATTTTCTTCCGTCCGACATATTGGAATTGTTCTGCGCATATTCTGAAATGGTGTATGATTGTTAGAGATATGTTGAGACGAAAATCGACTATATTTCGTAGTAATATGGTACATTAGCCTGTAAATTGAGTATGTTGTCTTATTTCTACAAAATAAAATATTATTCAATGTCGTTACATTGTGATTGTCTCTTCGAATTACGTATATTGTTGTTATTATTTCTACGACTATGAAGGCCAAATGGCCTAAAACCTATTTCCAGTTACATTTGTAGTGAAAATTCACTACTAATAAATGTAACTGGAAATAGGTTTTACAATATCTGTACTATTTGGTAGATAGCCTTTCAAAACCTATGAAACTGGTCACAAAAGTTATTGTTTTTACATAAAAAGAAGTAGATAGGTAAATACAACTTACTCCAGCACATTAAAGAAGGATTGCTGTTGAGCCTGAGACTGTGTCCTCCACCAGTCCACGAGTCTCTCGTCGTCCAAATACTTCAACACGTACAGGAAGCACAGTAGAACATCGCGCACCTCTTCCGCGGACATAACACCAAATCTACATGAAAAAACCATCACTATAGGTTTGGGAATAGATTCCATTCTTGAATGACAAAGGTTTAGCACACAAAACCTCTACTATAACATTGAAAGTAGTGTAAACTATCGAATCATACATGTTTGATAAACAAAAACAAAACTATGACACTGAGTATAGATTGTATTATTGAATAATACATAAACGTACGCATTACGAAATTTAGAATAGAGTTCATTATTGAATGACAAATGTTTCATGCCCAAAAGCTATCAATATACCTTGGAGATATCTGGATGTTAAACATTTCGTATACAAAAACGATCACTATCACTTTGAAAATAGAGTTTATATTTGATTACTTACCTATTAACTTGATCACCAATTTCACTCAAGTCCAGTCGTCCAATGTTTCTTGGTAACGAGTCACCTCCGGACATAGTAGATACTGATTCTAAACTGCTTTGTGACATGTTGTTGGTGTGATCTAAAGAAATACAACGATGATACTTTACATTAAGTAATGATTAAAGTTTCTATGACAGCGTCAAATATCCGTGGGCACTACCAAAGCGCCTATTGGATAAAAAACAAACGTTAAAATCGTTATTTGATGGCAAGCCAATCAGAATTAATACTCTTTCGAATCTTCTAGGAGAGAATAACGGTACATTTAAGACGGTACGAAGAACGTACAACGGTAAGAAGAACATATTAAATCTTACCTTTGCCATACATATGATTCCCCGGTATAGTGGGCGGTTCCTTGAAATGTGCGGAGTTCCTGACGGGGGTGTGGTCGAAGTGTAAGGTGAGTCTGTTCCGTCGCGGCGTGCTGTTGGCGGACGCGGCCTCCTTCTGGGTGCTGTTGAGGACCGGGTTCATCGAGCCGTCGCCGTCCACTCTGTCGTGACCATTCTCTATTGGACTCGCCAAGTTCTTTGTTATTAGACGATGTGCGTTTTCTGTTGAGAGTAAACGTATTTTAGTTTATGTTTTGCACATAAAATAAACCAGACAGATCACTTGATATGGTAAGCTATTGGAGCCGCGCATGAACCTCCGTAATATCAGAGAAGTTAGAAGGAGATAGCAAGTCGGAGAACTAGAACTGGATATGGAGGGCGAGAACTGGGTGTGGGCTAGGGGAGACCAGGTTATGGGGCAGGAAGAACTGGGAAAAGGTTCTGACTGGGGATGGGGGGAGCTGGGCATGGAGGGGGAAAACTGGGGTAAAGGGGAAAATTTGAGATTTAATGGGGGAGAGAATTAAGGAATTGGGAGGAGAATTGGGCCTATACTATCCTCACACAAAGCGCTCTCTTACGCTGGTTTACAACAGATATATCAAAAAACATACTAACCGAGTACAATAGTAAGCCACGGCGAGTACAAATACGCGAGCCTCGCTCTGCACTGTCGACTCCTATATCTGTCATCATGTTCATGCTTCGTCAGTAAAGCTCGCAACACACTCAGCGCAGACCTACGCTTCATGGGCGCCTCTCTCAGTGACTGTTCCACCTTAAAAATAGAGTAGAAATTAATACAAAATATTTTAAAAAGGAATAATAATAATGATTCAAGCATGTGTCATGCTTTATTTTACTAGCAATGCACTATGTGTAAAACAAGGATATACTTGTTTTAGCAGGGTTCCGGCAAGAAAGTGTCTCATAATAAAATCTTCAGTGAGCCTCAGCTTGGCGGGATCTGTGTAAGAGTAACAATTATTTTGATAATGACTGAACTTATTTACAATTATTTTGATAATGACTGAACTTATTTATAAAAAAATATTGTATGTAAGCACAGCGTCCTTATATCTTAACATACTTTATAAAGAAAAATATATTTAAAACACACTGTATAAAGATAAACATAAGTATCTATGTGTCAGACAATTTTCAACCTTATAACTTTACGCATAGAGTTAAAAATTGATCTCCAACCAAATCAAAGGCAATTTTCATCAAGATATAGGTACACTATGCGTCAAAAATCATTTTTAAATACAATTACTAACCTTCATCGCCATCTTTAGGCAATTTATTGGCATGTAAAGGCAGATTGAACGGCACAAAATGTTCATGTGAACATATAGTTTGTAGGAACGTGAATTTGAAGTCAAACAACGCTTTAGGATCGCAGACTTTGAACTTATCGAGGTATTTCTTTATCTGTCGGAACACGAAACCTCTGTCCATGAATGATAGGCAAGACTGTAAAAGAAGATTTAATTTGTGATTATTGCGTTTCAATTTAACTCGTCGAGTACCGGTTTTGTAGTCACAATTATACAACAATAGGTTGCGGTCACCGGTGACCGCTTGGTGTTTGACAGTTTAATAAAAACGTATTTTTTTACGAACGAGCGAAAACGCTCATTTATTGGCATGCCGGCCAATGGGCGTGAGTGAGTGATTTCATATTAATGTGTATAAAACGCGTGCGTACGCATAAACACACACGCGTACCCACACGGATAAAAATATGCGTGTGCATGTGTGTATAAGCGCTGCAGCACAACCGATAGTAGTCTTACGGTGGCAGTGGACTTTTGACCTTTGACCGTACGAGTACCTACATTTATCCACACAGATATATCGCATAATTATATAATTATCGTGAGATAAAACATCTATAACTAAATTAATTACTTTTTTAAAAAGATCTTCACACCTCAATAGGATTTCATCACTGCAGCTGGACGCTCAGACATTGTGCAAACGATGCAGTGCAATTTCCTTAAGAGTTTATTTATTTAAGGAAGCCATATATAAAATAAAAAACAAAAAATACACTTACTTTTAGAAATGTGGCAAGATTTTTGTTGAATATATGAGTCTGCATTGGTTGTTGTAAAATGTACGAAGGTTCCACAGTCGTAACTAATTTCTCAATGTTCTCTAGAAGATCTGCATGGAACCGTTCGTGGCGTGACATCTAGAAATATTACAATGATTTTATGTACTACATGCTTATAAATATTTTTATACATTATACATACTAGTTAAGATGAAAAATCCCTTATAAAATATATGCATAGCTAAAAAAACTAAAAAAAAACTAATATTGAATCGTTATTCGCTATATAAAAGACGTTTCTGTTGTCACACAATATAAGTCTTATTTTTTATTCCCGAAGGGATAGACAGTGGACGTGAACAATGTACTACGTTACACCTGTATACGGTTCATGTAATAGGGGGTCAGCCTACAACATTATAAATATAAATTTTACATCAAACGTAGGCATTTAAATTTTTTTTTATGGCATAAGCCGGTAAACGACCAGACGGATCACCTAATGGTAAGCAATCGGCGTCGCCCATGGACACCTGGAACACCAGTGGCGTTACAAGTGCGTTACCGGCTTTTTGGGGATTAGGACTTTGAGGATCGTTGGGGATTCAGGGATTGGGGAGATTGGGGAAGGGGAGGGTAATTGGGCCTCCGGTAATCTCACTCACACGACGAAACACAACGCAAGCGTTGCTTCACGTCGGTTTTCTGTGAGGCCGTGGTGTCACTCCGGTCGAGCCGGCCCATTCGTGCCGAAGCATGGCTCTCCCACACTTAAATTTTTCATTAACTATGTTTAACTTAAAAAAACCGACTTCAACCCCCTCTTATCTTGAAGTCGGTTAATTTATACTAAAACCTTTTTTACGAACATATTTATACAAAATGTAACAAACACTTTTTTGTAAACAGCATCAAATTCAGTTCAGCTTATCGCGAGCTAATCGCGCACAAACATACATACAAGTGGAACTGGAAATTTCGTTTTTTTTTTGAAGTCTTTTAATTAACATTCATGACAAACAAGTAGCGTTCTAGTTTTCCTTACAATTAAGTTCGTATAACCTATGTTGGTATAGGTACTCACTTTTATCCTCCCGGTATTGATAAGGTACTGCGCCATACTCTTAGTGATTATATCGAAGAAGAAGCCGGAGTACTGCATGAATTTGTTACCGAGCAAAAAGTCCGGCTGGTTGGGATCCACGAACATGTGTAAAGGAGCCGTCAACATTGTGTGCAGTTTGAATTCTACGCAGTTAAATACGTACTGGAAAGATAATAAGGTTTATTTTAGTGAAAAGTAGAAAAATAATACATAATTGCTATGGAAAAACATCTTATTTTAATGTGATGAAAATAGCGAGTGTATTGGCAAACACCATAGGTACTAAACTTTGTTCTGTTACTGAATCCCGAAGTGATAAAACCTGCATTCCTTTTAATTGGTTTCGAACGAATAAATGTTTTTTTTTTTAAGATGGGGAATCATCGAATGACTTCTCTCGCCTGAGAATGATAAAACTACGATTATAAGAACACTTCGAACTTACCTTAACATAGCTATCCAACAAATCCTTCCGACCGTAATCGTGTATCATATGCACAAAATGCACAATCAGTTTCACAATCTGGTAACCCATGTCCTGAGTGTAACTTTTTTCAACTGTCTGTAAATGCAAAGAAAATAGGGTAGATGCCTAATTTTCATTTTAATGTCCGTCTGGTAGATTATTTTAAATCATTAGGCAAGTATTTTTTATTTTCTTACAGAAACGAATACTTTCGACGATATATTGATTTGAAATGTCGCGTGACGTCACTTCTATGTACATTTTATACGTAGAAATGACGTTTTAGCCCCCACTCCTAAACTTTGATTCGTTTTATCTAAGTATTGTTTTATTATAAATAAATAAAATAAAAAATAAAAAAGCCTTGTATTTCCCAATTAAAAAGAAATATACATTTCCAAAAAATAAAATAGAAAGCATATCATTTTATATCATGTTTCATTTTAGGGAACCCCTGAGGTGAAGGCCTCCTCCAGAGACTGCCATCTTTCTCGATCTTTTGCTGTATCTAGCCAGCGTACTCCAGCCACACGTAGGATTTCGTCGTCCCATCGTGTGTGCGGTCTTCCTCTTTTCCTTTTTCCTATTGGTCCTTTCCATGTTGTAATTATTTTTGTCCATCTGTTGTCTTGTAACCTTGCTACATGACCTGCCCATTTCCACTTTAGTCTAAGTGCATATGAAACTGCGTCAATTGCTTTGGATTTCGCTCTAATTTTTGAGTGACGGATTCTGTGTTGTTTTTTGATATTGAACATGCTGCGCTCCATTCCCCTTTGGCACGAGATAATTTTGTTCTTAACAGCGGTGCTATATTTCCATGTTTGACATGCATATGTTAAGCATGGGAGCAGATTTGAATCCATTACTTTCTTTTTTAGTTCCACTGGGAGGTCGCTTTTGAACACTTCTTTAAGACTCCAGTATTTATTCCAAGTCTGATTAACTCTCCGTTCTACCTCTAATAAGTTACTGTTTTTAGCGAAAGAGATCTGCTTTCCCAAGTATATGTATTCCTTGACGTATTCGAGAGATATGTCATTGGCATTTATAGGTTTTTGTGTACTGTTAGTCATAATTTTTGTTTTTGACGAGTTCATTTCAAGACCCACTTGTATGCTTGCAAGGTGCAGTGTAGTTATCATGTGTTGTAATTGGCTAGAGCATTCAGACACTATAACTATATCGTCTGCGAATCTTAGGTGATTAAAGTATTTCCCTTGTATGTATATGCCACAGCCATTCCAATCCAGCTGTCCAAAAATTGTTTCCAAAACAGAAATAAAAAGTGTAGGGGATAGTGGGTCTCCCTGCCTTACTCCTCTTTTTACATCTATTAGTGGACCTAAAGTTTCTAATTTCACCTTGCTAGTACATTTTTCGTAGATGTTTTTTAAAACTTCGATATATTGTCTCTCCACGTTATGTTTTCTTAGCGCGTCCCATATACTTGAGTGTGATAATGTGTCGAATGCTTTTTGATAATCGATAAAGGCGACATATAGAGATCTCTGCTGTTCTTGATATTTCTCTATTAGGAGCTCTAAAGTATGTATGTGGTCGACTGTAGAGAATCCTTTCCGGAACCCAGCTTGTTCTACCGGTTGGTGAAGTTGTATGGTAGAGCTTATTCTTTTTTCAATAACTGATGAAAACAATTTGTAGAGGCTTGGCAATATACTAATAGGCCTGTAGTTTGAAATATTTTTTGGGTCTCCTTTTTTATATATCAATATTATGTTGGAGTCTGACCATTGAGAAGGTGTGGTAGCAGTATCAAGTATACGATTAAATAAAAGCGTGAGTGGGTGGCATAATATTGGCGCTCCATGTTTTAATATCTCGTTTGATATTTTGTCAATGCCAGGACACTTGTCTACTTTTAGGTTTTTTATGTTGGTCAGGATCTCTACTTCTTGTACAGGTTCTATTTCGGTAGTGTCATTGTTTTCTGTATTTTCTTGGGTTGTCTGGTGACCTCTGCTCGGCGTTGTTGGAGTGTCATATAAATTTTTGTAATATTCGGTAGCTATTGTAAGGATTTCGTTTCTGTGCTGGGTTATTCTCCCTAGGTTATTCAAGCTGTCGATCCAATTCTTGTGAGTTTGTAGTTCCTTTCGCGCTTTTTTTAAACTTCCAGAGGTTTTTAGGTGAATAAGCAGGGTGTTTTTTCTATAGTTAAGGTAGTCATTTCTTATATATTTACTAGTAAGCTTATATAGCGCTTTTAGCTCGTTTTTCATAGTTCTTGTTTTGAATTGAGTTCTTTGAAGTTGCTGCCTTCTCTCGAGGAGAGATTTAGAGCGCTCTGATAATTTTGCGTTTGTATGATTCCTGGTTGTTGGGGTTATTTGTTGGAGACTTTTGTTAATTGCGTTTACAATTTTATCATAGTAGCTCTGAATTGTGTCGGTGCGTCGTAGATGTTTTTTAAAACTTCGATATATTGTCTCTCCACGTTATGTTTTCTTAGCGCGTCCCATATACTTGAGTGTGATAATGTGTCGAATGCTTTTTGATAATCGATAAAGGCGACATATAGAGATCTCTGCTGTTCTTGATATTTCTCTATTAGGAGCTCTAAAGTATGTATGTGGTCGACTGTAGAGAATCCTTTCCGGAACCCAGCTTGTTCTACCGGTTGGTGAAGTTGTATGGTAGAGCTTATTCTTTTTTCAATAACTGATGAAAACAATTTGTAGAGGCTTGGCAATATACTAATAGGCCTGTAGTTTGAAATATTTTTTGGGTCTCCTTTTTTATATATCAATATTATGTTGGAGTCTGACCATTGAGAAGGTGTGGTAGCAGTATCAAGTATACGATTAAATAAAAGCGTGAGTGGGTGGCATAATATTGGCGCTCCATGTTTTAATATCTCGTTTGATATTTTGTCAATGCCAGGACACTTGTCTACTTTTAGGTTTTTTATGTTGGTCAGGATCTCTACTTCTTGTACAGGTTCTATTTCGGTAGTGTCATTGTTTTCTGTATTTTCTTGGGTTGTCTGGTGACCTCTGCTCGGCGTTGTTGGAGTGTCATATAAATTTTTGTAATATTCGGTAGCTATTGTAAGGATTTCGTTTCTGTGCTGGGTTATTCTCCCTAGGTTATTCAAGCTGTCGATCCAATTCTTGTGAGTTTGTAGTTCCTTTCGCGCTTTTTTTAAACTTCCAGAGGTTTTTAGGTGAATAAGCAGGGTGTTTTTTCTATAGTTAAGGTAGTCATTTCTTATATATTTACTAGTAAGCTTATATAGCGCTTTTAGCTCGTTTTTCATAGTTCTTGTTTTGAATTGAGTTCTTTGAAGTTGCTGCCTTCTCTCGAGGAGAGATTTAGAGCGCTCTGATAATTTTGCGTTTGTATGATTCCTGGTTGTTGGGGTTATTTGTTGGAGACTTTTGTTAATTGCGTTTACAATTTTATCATAGTAGCTCTGAATTGTGTCGGTGCTTTTTGTTTCTTCTAATAATTTAATGTTTTGATAGAGATTATTCCTGAATTCCATTATTTCCTTCTCGCTTTGTAAGGTTTTGTAACACCTGCTAGTATAGTTTGCTCTACTTCTTTTTATATTGGTTAGCGTTAGTGTTGATCTAACCAATCTGTGGTCAGATGGAAAATTTATGTTTAGTACTTCTAGGTTTTGAAATGAGTCGGGGTTGTTCGATAGAATAAAGTCTATTTCATTCCTATATTGTCCGTTAGGTGATTTCCATGTCCATTTGCGTTCAGGTCTTTTCTTAAAGAAAGTATTTATAATTGATAGTTTATGTTGTAGGGCAAAATCGATAAGTTTTTCTCCTCTTGCGTTTCGTGTACCGTATCCATTTGCTTTCATAATTAAAAATTCATCGCTCCGAGGTTGTCCTATTTTGGCATTAAAATCGCCCATGACTATAATTTTCGTATGGGCTTTCTTCATGGCTTTGTTTAGGGTTGTATAAAAGGCAGTTATATCATCATCGCTGGCTGCTTCCGTTGGTGCGTAGACTTGAATTAGTGTTAATTTGTAACTGTGTATGTTCAAATTTAATGTAGCTATTCTGTCCGATAGACCGATGTAACTTTCTATGTGTTGCTTCAGGTGTTTCTTAACTAAAAAGCCAATTCCGTGATACCCAGCTCGTTCTCCCGTATAGCACAGTAAGAACTCCCCGTAGTCTTCTATTTGATTTCCCAATCGTCTGATTTCCGATAATCCCAAAATATCAAACTTAACATTTTTTAGAGCTTCTGTTAATTCCATAAGTCTTTCATATGTTGATAGTGATCTGATATTGTAGGTGGCAACTAATATTCTGTTATCATTCTGTTTGTTATGATGGTGCTGGTTTTTACTAGTATTTTGGTTCTCTGGAGGGTTTTGGTCGTAATCTTCCTCGGTGACCGGCCGTGGTGGAAGATAGGTATTTGTTTTTGCTTGATTTGCGTTGCTTAATTGTGTTAGTTTATGTTGAGTTTGCTTTTTTACTACTTGATTGGTATTTTCGCTGTGTTCACTTATTTTATTGTTCCGCCGGTCTCCGAGCTCGAATTGTTATTTTTTGGTCTCGTTCGATCGATGTTTTATTATACTGACAAAATAAAAAACACGTCTAAAATTTTTTAATTACCTAACTTACGGACTAATTAGATTTTTAATTTTCATACCCTGGCATCATCCCAATTGTAAGAGACACATAACATAAGCATAAATTTTAATTAACCACACATTATTACTTTATAGTTGCTATTAATAACGAACCTTATGGTTCTTAACATAAAACTGCCAGTCTATTTGAAAACTATACGAGAAGTTACCTACAAAATCATGGTTTAAGTCGACGAAGATCAAAAGAGGAAATTAGTCCTTACAGCTATTGGCATAAAACTCAAAATTACAGTTACTAATCACGATCCCCATGTCTAAAATCAATGTAATAAAAATACTTACCATTAATTCAAACAGTTGATTCATAATAGTTGGCAGGAAAGCTACGAGCGAGCTCAATTTTATTGCGTGCGCAGCTTTGAGGGCGTTGCATACGTCATTCCACGGTGGAGGGGAGGGTGAAGTTGGAGGTGAACTGGATTTGATCAGTCTCTCAGCCTGACTGAACAGGTTGTGCAGGTGAGGGTCTCTGGTAGCCACTGTGGAGTCCAGGACCAGTTGGCAACGGAACAGCTGCTTCTCACCTTCCACCCAAACCACTTCTGGACCGGTGTTCTGTAAATGAGATGATAAAATTAACTAGTAATTTGAAGAAGAAATGTCTTGGCTAGGATAGTTACAACATTGGGAAATTGAACAATTTCATAATCTATTGATTATTTTGTAATTGTAAACCGAATTGTACTTTTGCTACAGACATTCAAATTCGAAGCTTCATGTTTGTCAAAGTCACTTAACACTTCTCTTATGCAAGTTACATATTATATAGTCTACAAAGTATATTATACTAGCTGTTGCCCGCTATTTTGCATGGGAGCATTTAATAGGGATAAATAATTTCTATCACCTAAGTCAGCCCATACCCTGTGTGTATACCAAATTTCATCAAAATCCGTTCAGTAGTTTTAGCATGATTGACGGAGAAAGATCGTAACAAAGAAACTTTCATATTTATAATATTAGTGTGATTTCTCTTTCCTTCTTATTAAAACCAGAGATGAATTAGTTTCAAAAAATACATAACATAACATAAAATCACGCCTTTCATCCCCGAAGGGTTAGGCAGAGGTGTACATTACGGCATTTAATGCGACTGTACAATGTAACAGCCATTTTTCACTACTTATATTATGAGTCCCATATAATAGGGGGTGAGCCTATTGCCATATACGGGGCACAATTCCAGACTCCGTGCTACCACTGAGATTTTTTTAAAAACCCATTATTACTTTACCCGACCCGGGAATCGAACCCGAGACCCCTTGCCCGGCAGTCGCACTTGCGACCACTCGGCCAAGTGAACAAGAAAATAACTTACTCCTTTCCCAAGTCCCAGTGGCTGAATGGACAAGTATCCAGATGGCAAGTGTGTCGCAATGGGCAAGTTTACAACCTCATCCACCAGTTTATCGTTCTTCAATAATGGGATCCACGCGTACCTGAAATTGTACACAAAGTACGCTGCTTTAGAACCGCCACCATCATAATTATTATTGACTAGCTTCTGCCCGCGACTTCGTACGCGCAATCCCGTTTTCTCCCGATCCCATAACATTTTCAGGATTTTTTTCGACCATAAGAACCTTCTCCTGTACAATAACCAAGACAACAAAAAGCAACGGTCTAGCCGTTCTCAAGTTATGGCGTGACAACGGGAAACTGGTTACTTATTATTATTATTATTAGCCCTCTTACTTCACAGGAGTAATGCTGTAAGAATTAGGTTATTAAACTACAGAATACATACTGGAGTTGTTTAAAAAGTTTAATTATTTAGTCTCAACATAACTTCTAGCTTATATTGAATTAAAACATGCAATAGAAATATTGAGTTACATTATCAATTAATATGTCTAGATTTGATATTACTATGGTGCATTGTTTTCAATAAACAATAGAACGGATATTATTAATTTGTGATTCATTTACTTGCATGTGATTACCGCCTAATGTTGTAACTATGTTTGTATGGTATTGGGAGAAAAAATCGAAGTAATAATAAATATTATTGTACAATCGACAAAGTTGGTGGTCGACCATCATTATCACACACGTTATCATATTAGCATGTACACGACGCAAGGAAAACAGGGCACTACTACAGGGAAAACAGGGCAGTGGATAGCCAGTTTCCCACCCGATTTTGTTTAAAAAGTGTACTACTGTAAGCTTTGCCGATCGTACAAGCAACAATTAAAAACTTACCCAATACAAGTTTCAACGTTAGCATCATTTTTCTTGGCAAGGTCGCAAGATATGTGGTGGAAGGTGAACAGGAGGTGATGTTGCGCAGTTATGGTGGCGGGAAGACGAATCTTGGCTTCATCACTCCAGGTGGGGTTCGCATTGTGATGTAACACCGAACATCGGTACTGTGACGTCATGCCGAACCGTCCGTATACAGCCTGGAAAATTAGTTTGGTGTGTAACTTTTTGCCTAGCTTTTTCAACTAAAATTATGTTCAAATACTCAAACGTAAAATTGAGTAGAATTTTAAGTCGCGCTGAAGTATAGTTGCACGATATTTAAGTGCTACTTAAAATTGAGTAACCTTTCAGTATTCGGACGACCTGTTTTTAATGAGGTCTACCGTTGTTTGCTTGGCGAGATGGCGATTATACACCGGTCTAAAGAAAATAACACACACACGTTATTTTAGATTTGGTAATCAAATAATGGCCGTTCTTATGGCCATTCTTGCGAATGTTACCATTATGTAGACTTCTGAATTGGTATTATTAATATTAGATATTTTAAAACAGCGTCTAACGTAGGATCCATTAAAAATTGAACTTCCGTTGAAACTAGTTATCCTTGTTCTCAAGAATTGCATAACTTCACGTTGCATATATTTATAATAATAAAATATTTAGGAATTTAGAAATAAGTGGAACAAAACGACATTGGCATCATACATACGTAATCAAAGAGGAAATGCCACTTCTGATATCTTATCAAGCATTATATAATTAATGTAACCTTTTTCAGGCAAATTGAGGAAATGTTAGAATGGTTTTGATAACTTTAACAAATAAATATATTTGCACTACTCAAAGGCCAGAATACACTTTTTTAAAGGGGGAAACTCATCGAATGACTGCTCCCGCCTGGGTGAGGCGGGACAGACTCTTACTGACTAAAAACCACCCCGTTCCTATTCCTGCACTTCGAGCCGGAGCCCCGGTAACCTGTTAGGGTCTCCGCGACTCCGTATCGGCATCAGCCCTATTGGGCCCCATCCGTGGTAGTCTGAATGCTCTTTGAGATGCCTGCTGAACGCGACGCGCCGTACGCTCGGGTCTGGTTCTGGTCGGGCAGCGAGCCACCCATGCTCGTCGTCCGCAGACCCGCGATTACGGTGGCCGGAGATCGTGCTAGGATACACTAGGGACAAATGTCCCACGAATTGTATCGGCGACAACGACTTGTATGTCAACCAAAGCCAGCTGACTTCGCCTGGCATATATAGAGATAACGCGCGAGGAGGAGACGTGTGGCGCGCCTTGTTGTCAGACATATCGGGCAAGTCCGACAACACCGGCAACCCAATATCGCTGGCGACATGTCATTTGTCCCCGAGTGTATCCTTGGCTTAAATATTTCATTCACCACAGAGTAACCTATTGTTAGTTTATGGGTATTTTTAAGGATAACGAATTAATTAGGTACTTGTTTGTATAGAATCAAAATTGTATCTGTACCGATATTACGCGCATAACTCCAGAACGACTGCACTAAATTTGATTGCTATAATTAATCACTAAGCTTGGCGGGTTGGAGATCGCTTTTAGTTTAAGTAGTTCTGGTTACTGGTTTATCAGAAAGCACTTTTGGTCGGTCTGTGCCATAAAGGCTTTTACTACATAAGCATGAAGAGCAGAGGTGAGTACACACTGTATATGCACCTACCAAATCATTTATTATTATTATTTATTTATTTCATGTCTCTATACCACCCTAAGGTAAACTAGGAGAGAATGCCTTAGGCATTTAAGTTCGTCTTGTGCTATAAGTACAGAAGAATTAAATAAATAACGGCAGTCTATATGGACTTACCTGCATCGGTTTATTTTCACCCGTATCGCTATCTCTCAGCTCAATAGAGCACGCAATGTTCCTAGCTCTGGCAAACATCTTCTGAGATTCAAAGTTCAAGGCGAGGGGACGCACGTACAAATGGTGTATGTACGCTGCATACGGCTGCTCTGGCTCCACGTTTAGAGTAGCCAGTTCTAATGTGAGCGGCGATGTAGGCGGTAAAGGAAAAGGTTTCAATGCTGCGTACGAAGTTGACATGCAATCTGGAATAAATGTTAATAGTTAGATGTGTTTCTTTTTTTGAACATGTAGACGAGGGTTCCAAACTCTGTGCTACTGCTGAGACATTTTGAAAAACCGAGAAGAATCCAAAAGGAATCTAATCTGAAACCCCTTCATCAGTCACGCTTACGATCATAGAATACCACAAAACTGTTCAAAAATCTGACGAATACAAATTATAACAAAATTATTATTATTCTTACTTGGTACTTGTTCATTGCTCTGATTTATGTTAATGCTGAGCCATCCTGGTATCACAGTCAGTTTCGACATCTTCTCGGACTTGCGATAGTCTGACAATATCTTCAGCAGGTCATCATCAGACATCTTATTCGGTTCCTGTCGATATATGGCTGGGAACTCCGGCGTCAAGTCTAAATCATTGCTGTACATTCTGAAACAATACATAGGTACATACTGACGTAACATCATGTATTTAATTCCAAGGAGTATTTATCTGGGATTTAAATATGCATGAAATTTTAACTAGCTAAATAAGGAGGTTGGGAACCATCCAGGTGAAAATTTGATTATTAATTAGGTCATCGAAACATCGATCTACGAATTGAAACTAAGACCTCTTGCTGGACAGCCGCACTTATAGCTTGCTTGCTTGCTAAGTGGGAACAAGGAAGCGCAGTTATTATAAAAGTCTATATGTATTATAAAAGTCAAGAATTCGATAAAAAGTTTTAAAATTTCTAAATTTCAGTATTAAAATTCTGTGGTAACTGATGATCGAGATCATCACGAAACTTACTTGTACAAAGGTTTCGCCGCCCAAGCAAAGGGCATCCTGTAAGTTCCCACGCGGTTTGCATACGCCTGGACATTCTTGTGTACTTTGAGGCCAAGTCTCGGGTCCTTGGTGGCCTTGAGGTAAGGCTCCAGCACCTGACTCACGTGGCCTTGTAAGATTTTATCAATCCTTACTACGAGAAACAAGTCTGGGTGCGGATTGTTTACAGACAGCATTACCTGTGAAAGCGCAAGATTGTATAACAAAACGTTATCATAAATGCATCTCAGCCTTGATTTCTATTTCCATTGTTTATCTCATATGCCAATGAATGCTAATAAATACCTGTTTCTTCGATCTAAACCACTCTTCCGGTATCTGATTAACGTCTAACTTAACATCGTAACTAAAATTCTCAACTAATGACTTCGTATCCTCGGTATCCTTGACTAGATCTTTCACGGCATCATGGTTCAGGTCGAAGTGGAAGTTCTCCGAGAGCTTCTTCCCACTCCTCGCGTCGTACAGCGCTAAGTACGTGTAATAAGGCTCTACTTGACACAACAGTTCTTTATCGCCGTCTATCGGCGCTTGCAACCTAAACTTTAAGCTTTCGCATTTGAGCAAAATTCTTTGGCCAAAGTGTTCTCTGAAACAATAAAATGCCATTGAACCTAAATCGTGAAAACAAGAATGTTCGTGACAGTTATCTGTGTAAGAAAAAAAGCTAGATACTTTTTATGGTAGGAGCAATTTTTAGTTGAAATAGTCTTATTGTCGTGCAAAAAGGTGACACAAAATTGAGGTACGCGCACGGTTGCTTTCACTGGCACGATACACGGCAAGAAATTGTACAAATAATAAAAAGTGATGCACGTACTTAAATGGTTCGAGCTGAGGTTCAGGCGAGGGCGCGCGTTTGTATGGCATGCTGAAGATGTTGTAGCGGCACTCATTGCGCGCCGCCGCTATAGACATGTCTGTCTCGCGGGAATACCGCATGAGTAGCGGGTTCATACTGTGCTCCAAGCCCTTCAGGGTGCCGTACGTGGGAGGAGGAGGTTCCGCTGTCAGAGATACGTCCGCATCTAAACAAACACCAAATCGAATTATATAGATCCTGTCACAGCCAGTTGAAGTCTAATAGAGCTTAGAGCCCTTACGGAGAACAAATTCCCTACCTTTGTCCAAAGCTTCATCACTTTGGTGAGTCTCTTGGCTATCCTGGTTTTTCTTCAAGGCTGCTTTAAAAGCGTTAATCCAATCATTTACATCTTCTTCATTTTCAGCTGCAAACGTATAGCCTTTACCGCCGGCCATGCGTAATTCGAAACAAAACCTTCCCTTTTTAGGATTCTGTTGAGGTAGAACAAGCATGTTATAGGCAGTGTTCATTACAAAAACTGGCCAATTCGTTCGTATTTATTTCAAATTAATCTAAAACTTTAATTTAGATACTTGTAACTATGACTGCAAAGTTGATTTTCAAATAGGGGCAAATAACAGAAGAAGTCTTACCCTGACAACATCAGAGCAAAAATCCATAACGATAGTGAGCTTCGTATCCGTCTTCTTCTCGTCCTTATACACTTCAAGTATATACGTGCCATCGGCCTCTCTAACCATTGAGCAATAACGTTTCTTAAATGACTTTGAAGCAAGGTTACTGAATATTCTATCTGAGCCAATTTCAGGTCCCTTGAGCAGATGTCCTTCTTTCGTGCCAAGGTCCAATTTAGCCGCCTGACCCTCATTGTCACTCTCAGTTTCGGCATCTATATCATACACCTCCTCCGGAAATTTATTTTCAATGGGCCTGTGTAAAGAACGATAGCGTTAATGGACCTGATAACGGTACCAAGTAATATTTGATTTACTCATGCATTGTAAAATACTTGTCGGTAAACGTTTCTGTGAAAAGTAATCGGGACTTCCTTGCCGTGCCTTTTATGATATCATTCAATAACTCGAATGTATGATGACACGATTACGACTTTATCGTGAACATCAATAAAATAAAAGTGAATGTGCTTTCAAAAATGTGACCTCTGATATTAGTAATATAGTTTAATTTAATTAATTTGAAGATGCAAGATATAATCAGCGAAAGCGTCTGTCGTCGCGACAGCTCATTATCATATTATTATGGCTTATTAAAATGGTATATTTGCTATTAAATCCTTTCATCCTATGTTGTGCAATCATAGGATGTGACTCATGCATCAGATATGAGCATAATGGCCTTGGGAGTGGTGTACGTAAGTTTTTGTTGGCCATACAACGTTCATTGCCATGTAAAGTATGTTAATTATCACTGCTAATGAGTACCACACTGTTTGTTACATTTTAACACATCACATGCAATCAGCTTTCATTTGTTCCAGATCGACCAATGATAATGAATGCATTTTTCAACAATAATATTATTCTAATGAAGTGTTTGCCATGAATATTATTACCGTTTTTATGTTGCATTCAGGATGCAAAATTGCTTTCTAATATCGACTTGTAAATACTCATTTAAATAGTGAAAACTAATTATTTGCATAATATATTTAGTAGTATTTTAATATTATTACTTAACATATTTTAATTAAACACTGTCTAATGTTATTTACATGAATTTTATACTTGGGAAGTATTTAGATAAGAGCATGTCAGCATGGTGACACAAGTGCATACAAAACAAAGTAAACAACTATTTCCTTATCCTTATATATGTATTATAATTGCAGCAAAAACTGGATCAAAACTTCATTATTTATGTACTTCTTTGACCTGCGAAATATTTAAATTTTGTCCTGTCTTTAAATCGTACTTTTATGGTATAGATAGATTGATGAATGAGATGACGGAACACCTGATGGTAAGCAATTAGCGCTGCTCTTGGACACTCGCAACACCCGAAAAGTTACAAGTGCGTTGCCGACCTTTTGGGGATTCGAAGATTCAGTATTGCAGATATGAGGGGGGATCTCCAGAAGAATGTCTAGCTCATTGCCACTACAGTAAGTTAATCCTTTACCTTAATATAAAACTTACCGAGGTAAATTGAGGTAGCTGCCTGCATAATTGCTGAACTTGTAATGTATGAGATTCCAACTGGAGGCATAGCTGAGGAGTGCCTGTCTTGTGAGGAGAGGGCAGGAGGCAGCTGTCCTAACATCAGGAACGGCGGTCGTAACGGTCCTCCAGCGACGCGGCAGAACAACACTCTGAAATGGAAAATGGATAAAAAAAAATCGAAAACATAATTGTCTCCATTTTTATGTTAGACAGATTAGCCGACGGCAAGCAATTGGCGCCGCCTATATGGACACAGAGAAATTATAAGCGCGTTGCCGGTATTTTAGGAATTGGGGATTTGGAGACATGTGGATGTAGGTTCTCATTCATAACCTAATTTTCGTTTACATGAAGAGAGAAACTGGACATCAAAAATATCTCATTAATTTTTGAGTAACCATAGATCAGTTCTCCATCGCCCATGGACACCTGGCTCGGGTTTTCTGTGAGGCCGGGGTATCGCTCCGGTGGAGCCGGTCCATTCGTGCCGAAGCACGGCTCTCCCACACTTAATAATGTTAATATACATCCATGTCTTCATGGAACAGCCGGAAGGTGGCAGCGCTGTGCTAGTCAGAGACGGTGAGTAGAGACATATAGTACTTATTTCTAAAGATATTTCCATATTTCATTCTAAGAGAAACATAAGAAACCAGCTCCTCTCCAACCCCAACAAGTGTTGTATTCATACTGGCAATAATTAATGACCTAAGTTAGAGCTAATTGCTGACTATAACATTCCAAGAATTTAGTACACAAATACCAATTTACTACCAACTAGTTACCAGAATACCAATTCTGGTACCTAGTTGAACAGTACTACTGTTAAGGGAATTCCTAAAGTTTTCATATTATATATGTAGGCAACGGCATATTAATTAATTGAACTTTTCCTGTTTTTATTACCACATGTTAACATTAGTACAATAATACATGTTAATGCATTCAATCTCATAGATTCTTAATTTTAGGATGAAAAGATATTACATAATAACAATTATAAACAATATGTTTAAATTATTAATTTAAAATTATAAACAAAATTATCACTAACTAAAATACAAGAAACACTTACTTTAACTGTTCAATCCCCAAGCGGTCATCAGTGACCGCTCTGCGCTAACTCCATTATAAACCTTATATCCTATTATATAACTAATTTTGGAGATTTTCGGTACAATATATCAACATATTAAATAAGACCAAAATAAAGAAAATAAAGAGTAAATAAATATGATTTAAGTAAGAATTTATAAGCAACTTACAGAAACATCATCGGTTGGGTACAGGAGTATATCTCGCAGTGGATCATTCAAGAGAAGGGTCTTATTGTCTTGGATGTATTGCTCAAAATCCAATGCCGTACACTTTTTGGCAATGATATTCTGAAAGAATGTATATTATTAAAACCTACCTTATTTACTTAATTTCATAATAAAGTTATATTAACTTTAAATCACAATATTAAAATAAGAGGCAGTAGGATTTATTCTACTACTGCCTGGTTTTTGGTTTCAATTGACACATTTCATATGGAAAATATATCAAATTATAAATTATCTAATAAGACTCACGGAAACTTAACTATAAAGGGTCCAACAGGACCTCAGAATAAATAATTTGCATACCTGTTGCTTTGTACAATTTGTAAATTGGTGCTTAAATACATTGAGAATGAATCTGTGTGAACATCTGTGCTCTATCTAAAAATGAACTACAGTTCATGTTCATTTTTCTTCATAAATTGTTTATTATGTTAAGGTAAAAATTAGTTATATTTTTATACTGATCTTATAAGAATCTACCTACTGATTAGTTTCAAATAAAAAATGAAATGGCATTCTAATATGTTTAGTTAGTATAATATGAACTCAATGTCGTTCCTTCGATGTTTACAATATCCGGCGGTATATGTTATGTAAATATTGCATGCAAGACAGCCAGACAAGGTAATAAATTAAATAGATTGCCAATATTCCGCATTTACCAATTTAATCTTTAATTAATAATGACTTTACTGCAAAGATATACTGATGGCACTTAAACAGCATTGGCATGGAATAGAATAATATACTTTCATGTAATTAGAAATTTCTAACGCAAATAGAAAGTAAAGACAATTTTCCAATCAGAACCAATAGACCTCAGTATGGGAAAATGAAATACGCTTTTTTATTAGCAAGCACTCGGCAAATTTAGTCTTACTTATATACATTCAATTAACTAAAAATATTCCTTACATTGCATGTTACTTGTATTATTTACCTCATATTCTGCGCCGTTCTTTTTCACCTTAGAATTCACTGGAGGCATGGTGGATAAACTTATAACACACAATATCTAAAAACAATCACAGGTATACACTTTGAGTACCACATGTATTTATATTTTTTGAAAAATCAATCATTTTTCATTTACAAAATGCCGAAAACCGCAATACGAACGAAGAAGGAAGAAGCGACACACCGAAATACGAACAAAAGTGACAGTATGACAGCCAGCCGTCGACATGCGACCAGTGTTGCCGGCGCGGTGAGTCAATATTTGTTAATGTGGCTTTGAAAAAAAATGTTGTTCTTCAAGATACTTGCTTATTTTTGTGTACGATGTTCTAGTTCTAACAAACTCTCCTATTCCATCGACCAATATTATTTCGTTTTGTCACAAATTACATAGCAAACGGTCGCTCAATCGCAACTTGTGCGGATTGTGAGAATCAAAATGACAATTGTCCAGAATTTGTCAGATACTCTACTCTACTTGTATATTCTAACATCAAGAAAACAATAGTTCTTAAGATGAAACTGACGAATTCTCAATTGATTTATGATACACACCAGCTTCTGCCCGCGTTCCTGTGGGAATGAAAGTAGCTTATGTGTTAAACCCGACTACAATCTAGAATCTACCCCTTTTCTAAACTTATATTCATCCCGATCCCGTCAGCCGTTTTGACGTGATTGGGTAACAAATGTATACACAAAATTTCGCATTTATAATATTGGAAGAATAGCAGCCACCTGACTGCCACTTTGAAAACTGAACAAGAAAGCGGGAATTGGAATACCTACTTAAATTAACTAACTAGCTCACTGTGTGAGCTGCGCGACGTCGCCGCGACCGCGCACGCTACTCATGAGGAAGAACCCCTCTGTAGTTCAAAACTAGTAGAGCTTTTCTCAGTATATTCACGTTAGTAACCCGCGATTTTAGTTAATTTAGTATGTCTCACGATAGTTGTTACCTACTTAAATTACTTACCTACCTTAATTAATTACCTACTTAAATCCTACAGGAGTTTTTTTATATTTTTGTTATTCTCCACGGACTCTTGTCCGTGCCCTTGTCATTCAATTACATTATCTTTTTTATTTTCGAGTCGAGTCGACTTTTGATGTCAGGATTAAATATTCATATGACATAGACAAAGGTAAAAATAAAATACTGTAAATGCAAGTAATATTTTGTTTTTAATAATAATTAATATTAAAAATAACATTACACAGAAGAGAATTATACATTTTCTTTTGAGTTCAATCAACAAACAAAATTAACAGTTTGCAAAATCCCAATGAGCTTTGGCAGTTTCTTTACAACATTTTGGCCAACAACATTCATTGCTTTATTTAGTTGAGTGAGGAGTGAGTGAGGATAAATCTTTCATTTGGATATGGAGTCATAATAAATTCTTCCTGAAACAAAAAACAATTTAATTAACAACCCGAATAGATAACTTTTTTGATGTCTCTGGTATGAAACATAACTTTTCAAAAGGGTGGGCGAAGCCATGATATGTATGGTACGTTTTTAAAATTATTATGAAAAATTATGAGTTCTGTTACTGTCTGCAAAAACTCTTTATCAGATTTTGATGAAAACTATGATAATTATGAATTTAAGCTGTATCCTCCACTTCAATGTTCATGTAATACTGCACCAGGATTGATCACTAGCAATATTACAAGTACCGACATTTTCATTATTACAGTTTCATTTTGAAAACAATCAGAACACAATTTTAGGCAAAAACAATAGTTTTTTCTTTACATTTTGAAAGATTTTTCTCTATAGTACTATTTAAAAAAATATTGAGTTACTCACCTTCGATTTTTTGTTTTTTTTTTTCTTATTTAATGAAAACGATTTATTATTTAAGCAATCATATCTTTTAGCTAATTAGCATGCTCTTGTAAGGCACTATTTATCGATTCTCTATGCATTGCAAGGGCACAAGGTCAATTATGAGTCGTGAGGTGTAACACACACCTTTTTGATTACTTCATTTATCCTTGATTTTAACTCTTCTTGTTTTTCTAAAGACAGTTCTACACTTATAATGTTATAAAGATCTTTGAAGAACTTTCTAACCTTTTTATCACTAAATTCTTCATTATTTTCCAAGTCATAACTTGTACTTGAAGTCTGTTTAATTTTTTCCTCTACATTATTTATCAGATTTGAACTTTCTGGCGGTGTATCTTTTTCCAAAGAATCATCTTCATTTATTGTACTTTCAACCTCCATTCTTTCATCTATACTGTTAACTATAATATTTTCTTCCTTAACAACATCATCCAGCATAATTTCGCTATGTAAGAATTTCATGGCCTTCTTCTTATTTTCTTCTAATACACCATCTTTGTTTACTGAACTTTGAATGTCCATAAACACATTAATAAAGGCTTCTTCTTCAGTATTTTCTTCCTTAATATTGTCTGGCAGTATAATTTCACTGTGTAAATCTATACGATTCCCTTTACTTTTTTCGCATGCACCATCTTCATTTATTTTACTTTCAACCTCCATTCTTTCATCTATACTGTTAACTATAATATTTTCTTCCTTAACATCATCATCCAGCATAATTTCGCTATGTAAGAATTTCATGGCCTTCTTCTTATTTTCTTCTAATACACCATCTTTGTTTACTGAACTTTGAATGTCCATAAACACATTAATAAAGGCTTCTTCTTCAGTATTTTCTTCCTTAATATTGTCTGGCAGTATAATTTCACTGTGTAAATCTATACGATTCCCTTTACTTTTTTCGCATGCACCATCTTCATTTATTTTACTTTCAACCTCCATTCTTTCATCTATACTGTTAACTATAATATTTTCTTCCTTAACAACATCATCCAGCATAATTTCGCTATGTAAGAATTTCATGGCCTTCTTCTTATTTACTTCTAATACACCATTTTTGTTTACTGGACTTTGAACTTCCATAGACACATTTATAGAGGTTTCTTTTTCAGTATTTTCTTCCTTAATATCGTCTGGCAGTATAATTTCACTGTGTAAATCTATACTATTCCCTTTACTTTTTTCGCATGCATCATCTTCTTTTACAGTGTTACCTTCCCATGCATTATCTTTATTTATTGTGTTTTCAACTTCCTCAGTTTCGTTTGCAGTGGCTTCTTCAATTTCTTCCTTAATGTCATCTTTCAGTATAACTTCACTATGCAAGTTCATAGACATCCTTTTCCTTTGTTCGCATGCATCATCTCTATTTATTTCGTTTTCATCTAGAGTGTTAGTTTCAATATTCTCTTTCTTAATGTCATGTGTTAGTATAACTTCACTATGTAAGTTTATACTTTCTAGTGGTTTCTTTTCTTTCCATGCATCATATTCGTTTATTGTTCTTTCATTTATAATTTTACCTACCCATACATCATCTTTGTTTTTCCTGCTTTCAACTTCCATAGTTTCGTTTGTAGTGGCATCTTCGATTTGTTCTTCATTATCATCATCTTCCAATATAACTTCATTATGTTTATTTAAAAGTCTCTTTAAATTATGTAATGGTATATTGTCTTCATAATCCTCATCTGTATTTATTGTGCTTTCAACTCCCATACTGTCATTTGTATTAGTATCCATGATATTTTCTTCTATAATAATATCATCTTTCAGCATCACTTCTCTAGGTAATAATTTTATGGCCTTCTTTTTATTTTCTAAAATGCAGTTTTTTTTCCTAGCACCGTATTTGTCTATTGTCCTTTTAAATACTGTCAAATATTCAATGTTTTCTTCTGAATTATTATTTTTACCTAGTTTATTATTAAGTGTATTAGAATTGTCATTGATAACTTCACCACCTAATTTGTAGTTTATCAGATTTTGGATTGTTCCTTCCCATACATAATCTTTGTTTATTGTGCTTCCAACTGCCATAGTTTCATTTGTAATGGCATCTTCGACATTTTGTTCTATAGCATCATCAGTTGTTACTTCACTGTCTAAGTTTACTGCAGCACCTTCAATGTCTTCTTCTGAATCCGAATCTATTGTTATAACAGTATTAGTGTTCTTGTTATTTTTATTAAATGTATTAGTATTACCATTGATAAATTCATTTAATTTGTAGTTTATCATATTTTGGATTGTTCTTTGTAAGTAATAAATATCTTCATCTTCATTACTTATGACATCCTTTTTCTCTGTTTCTCGTTTTGATAACATCTCTTTAACTTGATCATGTGTAATTATTTTACATTTTGACCGATTTTTTTGTGAATGCAATACCTTGTCATGTTCTATTTTGTGAACTAAGTTGTTACCCCACTTATTTATAGATCCAGGCAGATCAGCATCAGTGACATTTAAACAATAGTTGTTTAAAAATTTAAGAGATCCATCAAAATATTTTTGTAGAAATGGGTTGTTTGAAATATCTTCATGTGTTATTTTACCAGATTGTAGTAAAATTATTAACTTTGTATACTTATTCCTTATCCGAGACCAGTCAGTACTACAAACGGTTCCTGAAAAAATTAATGAAAATTGCATGTAATATACCTACATCACAAAGCTTACAGCAAAGTATTACTGGGTTTGTAAAAACTTCAGTAATAGCACGGAGTCTGGAAATTTGCCCTGTATATGGCAATAGGCTCAACATGGGACTCATAACATAAATAGTGAAAAGTGGGTGTTACATTGTACAGTGGCATTAAGTGCCATAGTGTGCACCTCTGCCTACCCCTTCGGGGATAAAAGGTGTGATGTTATGTTATGTTAAACCTACATCATGAACAATTTAATGACTCTTGTTTAATTCACTGTTCTATCTTTATATTTCATGTAAAAATCCAACTAAATCAGTTACTCTCAATTCCAATTTGTAGCTGGACTCTGGTCGTATTTTTTTTGCCTTCAGTGAAGCTAGGTGCTCATTCCAAAATGTAGAATGGAGAAGAACAAGAAAGTAACTCCATTCGGTACTCTTTTAAAAACTCTCTCTGTGCCAACTTAGACTGAGATACAAAGAAAATACAAGTAGGGCAAGAAATTATAATTTAATTCTGTTTCTGACTGCCGTTAGTTGGTTGGTGGTGCCGCAGTCGATATTCACCGCGTTGGCAGAGAACTATAAACATAGTAAACAAACTTACTTGATAAACACATTTTTTCAGAAATTGCCCTCCAGTTACAAAAAGGCTTTTTAGTTACTTTATTTAGGTCTTCAGAAACAACATGGGGATAATATCTTTTCACTTCATAGATTAAAGCTGCTTGTTGAGGAGACCATCCATGACCATAGGATGATGACGCTTCGGGTTTCGCTGTGTTTTTATGTTTTGATGACGACATTTTCTTTCTTTATTATTATCTTTTCCAGTTCCTTACAATACTTTGTCTGCAATGTTTATGAATGTTTTCGTTCGATCAACACAACTTTTGACAGAAATAAAAAGACATCATGACGTGCATGCATGACATTTCGAATGTGTCACCAGTTTATTGAGAAATAGGTGTGACCAGTTTAGTGACCGTATACTACACACTATTACAATACATTCTATTATTTATATTTTTTGTGAATATTTTCAATAATAGATGCAATTTATTGATTTACAATAATAGGTGAATGCTGAGAACTGGAGAAATAGTTTTAAGTTTGACATTTGTATTTGTAATCTGTCGATAAGAGCTAACCTGAAACCATGCACTCACCAGATGGCACTATTATAGCGTGAGGTGCCATTTATAAAACCAATCACTACACTCATCACTACAGCAGTCTACCTTCTCTTTCAGAATAAGGGTAAGAAGTGGCCGACCTATGATACCTATCTGTGTGTATTTTCGAAACACAGACCATGACTGACTTTCATTTAAATCTTTTCAGTAGTTTTTTTGCAGAAAATAGTAATATTACAAAGCTTAAGAGTTTGTTTGAATGCGAAAATCTCCGTAACTACCTGGTTCGAATTGAATAAAGCTTTTTGTGTTAAAGCATTTTATCGAGGAAGGCAAGACTATAAAAACGTTCCGGTTGTACTGATTACTTAGTCTGAGCCGAGCCCTGGGTGGACCAACGCAGCAGTATCTACCATCTTTATAATTATGTTCTGTGATTTATACTTTATGTACCTAATAGTATGGGTATAAAAAACGAAAAACAAACAAACACAGTCTTTATAATAACACTTTATTTTTATACAACTTTTATTATTTATCTTGTATCCAGAATAGATCAAAATTTGATCAATAAATGGTTTTTTAGTTATTTAATTGTACATTATTGTTCTTTTTAAATGAATAGGTACAACAATTGTTAATCATTTATTTTCCCGCGGCTCCATCATTATTTAGCCTGCATAATTAATTATGTGATTCAGGTAGGATAATCTTTAGCATGTTTTTCTTTAGGGTTAAAAAATGATATGAAAGGAAGCCTACATAAATTTAAAAATGATCAAAAAATAAAATTCGAAACTGACGTGAGAACAACAGTACCGAATTGGTAAATTGAAAGCACTTTTTCTGCTCAATTTAAAGGGGGGCTGCCAAACGCCAGATTAAAGAGTGTGAGGCGTGAGGCAACTTATTTTTAACCATTGCCCTCAATCCTCACACTTATCAATCAGCTGATATTATGCGTAAAGGCGTTATTTAGGTACAGTATTATCCATACAATATTTTGAAATCCACTAGAATAGGTAATGATATTTAACTCTATATTTTTATAATCATTAAGGGCAAATCGTCCTGCCGCGGGAAAGCGGTTATAGCCATAATTGCAAATAATAATGATTACTACCTACTTAATCAATCATACTGAGAGCTTTTCATTTTTATTTATCATGTACCTTTGTACTACAGTTGTACCGTAAAGTCCACTGGCGGGCAACCTAACATTCGAAAAACTTATATTTGCGTTTGGTATAGTAATTATGTCTAGGGATTGACGCGCACGATGAAGAGTGTTTTGAGTAGTAGTCGTGTAGGTTTTTCGGGATTGAAAATTGACCTCTCTACAGATCATTTCAGTCAGATCTCAACGCAGTCAAAATCAGACTCTCTACAGTCAATCATCTGATAGACTTGAGGACTTAGTACGAGTTTTGTCTGCTTCAATAAACCAACCAATTAGAGCGCTGGACGCGTTAACGTTTTGATTTCAATAAACGTAAAGCAAACTAGTGTTCAACACTCTGTAGGTACATATTAATTAAATTAAAATAGTTTACAAAGAAGCCACGACATGCTTGTTTGTTTCTGCCTTTAGACACTGTATTTCTAAAACTTGAACTGTTATTCAAATATTCACAAAAATTTAAAACATAGTCTAGGACTAGGATAAATGTCTAACTACAAAATATGTATTACTAAATGCTTAATTACTTATAACGATCGTTGTAAACACACACATGTATATTTTATCGACAGATACAAATTTCAGTCAACACCTCTAACATAGGTACTTTAGGTAGGTACATTTTAGCAACGAAACATTGTTTCCTATCGGTAGGCGTTTGTTTTTCGTAAAAATCTATCAATACGAAAGTGGACAAGTTCAGATTGTTTATTAAATACATAAAACTATTATGGTATACATAAATTGTTCTATCTTCTTACATTAGGTACGTACTTTTATTTTTGGCATATGGCACACAGATTTACTTATCAACTAAGATATCCGTTAAATACACAACACAATTTAAATATCATAGAGACGTACAATCAACCTCTATAGCAAGTTAAGGTTCGAAGATGTACAATAGCTATTATTATTATGAAAAATATCACACTTAGGTAGGTAATTGAGTATTTGACTCTATCGAAGTTACATTCCCAGCTTCATCGAAGTCACTTCCAACGTGTCAACCAAACTCGGAGTTAACACTGAAACTGTGAGAAGTCGCTAGTCTGTGAACGGAATGTGCAGGAGAGAGCCGAGGGCGAGGAGCGCGCCACGTACTGCGAGGCCGGCCGCCGCGCCGACTGTCAGGTGTACTCCTCGTCCTCGTCCTCGTCCTCGCTCGACTCGAACGCGGCCTCCATCTCGGCGTGATCCTCAGGCGTCGGCAATGACAGCTTCAGGTAGTCTACTGGCAACTGCTTCTTCGGAATCAAGTACCCTGTGGAGTCTTGTGGTGGAGGCGGAGGTCGCGGTAGTCGCACCTGCATTGCCTGACCACCCGCTGCTGCATCCTCTAATTTTCTACATATTTCATCGAAACCTATTCTATCTCGAGGATCAGCCTTCCAACATGCACGCATTAAGTCACCAGCGAAGCGGGGACAGTCCTCGGGAGGCACTAGCACTATACCTCTTAAAATTAATTTGGTAGCGCCGTCGTTGTTTTGCCCATAGAAGGGTTGTTTGCCTCTGCTGTATATTTCCCACAGCACTACGCCGTACGACCACACGTCGGACTCGTGCGTGAACCGAGCGTATACAATACTTTCCGGTGACATCCACCGTACGGGCATGGGTCGTTCGCCGCCCATTTTATAGTAATCACAAGTGTAAACATCTCGTGACATACCAAAGTCTGCTATTTTCACTGTGAGATTTGCACCAACGAGACAATTCCTCGCCGCAAGATCTCGATGAACGAATCTCCGTGAAGCGAGGTACTGCATACCTCGTGCTATCTGTAGTGCTACATGTAGTAAAGCATGTTCATCTAGTATTGGCCCCGGCCTGCCTCCTCCGCGGGAGCCTCTTAGCACGCCGGCCAGGTCGCCCCACTCCATATATTCGAAAACCATCCAGGGACTTGCATTGATGTCATCTAGAAAATGAAATTATGTAAGCAAATGATATAACACTAAATATTTGTCTTTCTGGAATCATTAAAATTGTAAATCAAAGATACTTTACCTCTGTATACAACTCCAACTAGAGCAAGAATATTGGGATGCCTAAATGCAGACATTATGGAGACTTCCCTCACAAAGTCTTCTTCGGCATTGCGACCTGCACTTTCCTTTAGTACTTTAATGGCCACTACTTGTTCGTCAGTGGTAGTCCTAAGAAGTCCTGTAACAAAGTTAACTTGTTGAACAATTTGAACATCATAATAATTGATTAGTAAAATGAATGTCCATTTATGATGAAACCTACCTTTGTGGACTTTGCCAAAGCATCCTTCACCAACCTCTTCGAGGAATGTAAGGGCGTTTCTGTCTAGAAGTTGGACCTGGGATTTGTTGGTATCATCAGTGTCCATAACTCCTGGAGTGCCTGGCACCGGCACGTTGCCCGCTCCGTAGACTCCATACTGCGGGTTCGTTATATACCTTTCAGCAAGCAGAGGCTCTCCCGGTCGCACACGCTATAAAAAACCAAGCTTATACATTTTTACTTGCATTTATTTTCAATACTGTGTGCAACAGGAAATTAAGAGAAATAAAGCAATCAGTAAGCGACATCCTCTATAAGATTATTAAATATTAAATTATGTATACAATAGTGATCATGCGAGGTTAGCGGTTGCCAATAAATTAAAGGCCATAAATCATTCAAGCTGGCAGGACGTTTTAGATGTTGCTAGAATTAGTACTTACAGGTTGTGTTTTCCCATCCACACGACATATTCTCTTTTTGAGGTACAGTAGGATGATGGAGACGAGTAATATTAAAGTTACGGCCCCCGAAACTGTGACGGCTATTAAAGTACCCACGCCGGCACTCATACCCGTATCTATTAGTGAGCCGTTCCCAGTCGTAGATTCTGCGAATATTTCTCCACTGCTTGAAGATTTGGACACCTGAAGCAAAAACAATTAATTGTAATTATTAATTATAATTCAACTGCTAGTTTATTAGCTCAGCTCTGTTTTACACCTTTCTATTAAAATTGCGTTTTTGCGACGGTTAAGTACAAAATTTTAGAAAATACGATTTTGTTTACATTACAGGTTCTGGTATTTATAACTAGTTCTGGAATAAGCACTATGAAATTTAATTGAACAGATAAACAAAAAAATTAACCAGAATTCTTCAAGACAAAAGAATAACCTCTTCTTACTTAATACAACATGTTATAAATGTATTCGTTGACACGAAAAAGGGTGGAACAATAACATTAAAGTTCGTACGTAATCAAAGTACTCTCAGAATTTGGGTGACATCGGTTTTATCATGGCTGACCTATCATGAATATTTATCAGTACCTAACTATGGAAAAACACTGATTTCGTTTTCCATCCCATGTAGTTACCTACTATATTTTAGTAGGCTTGTTCAAAATCAATACTTTTATTGATAAAGTTCATGGCTTGACTTGTTATTCATTTACTTTGCTGTTTTTATTTTGCCTTTGTTTTTGTGTCTATGTATGATTAGGATATATCGGATTACACACAATCAAGACATATTTTTCATTTTCTGTCATCCAAATGATCGTGCATCCTGCATTATAGGATTTTAGTTAACTCTATCTCTATGTAATCAGGTTTTAGTAGACTTTTCGTAAACATTTTATCTATAGACTAATATTTTTAATCTGGTTCGCAATCAGTGCGGTTGGACAGCGCGATAAAGCGATAAAAGAGGTTTTAATTAAGATGGATGTTCTCACTTGTGCGGTGGGCGCTGACGACAGGTACCGTGTGTCTGAGGCATTCGACGGTCTCGGAGGGATCACATTCAATATGGGCTTCAGAGTCACGGGAACTGGAATTAATAGACACAGTTTACTGTTAGACCTTCACTGACACACATAGGTATGTTAGCAAGTCGAACTTAATGCATTGCTATCTACACCTTATTTAATTTTGTTTATATACCTACAAATTACCTTAATAAGGAACACTGCAATAAATAATTAATGAACAACTTTGAGCAATAAGATACTTTAATATGGCCCATATTCGAATTATTTATTCGATTACAAACATACAAATCAAAACAAAAGTTCAATAAACTCTGAGTAACAAATTACGATCAATCAAGCATTGTGGAGTGTGGGAGTTATTAATAAACGTAAGATGGTAAGATCACCTGTGCTTCTGGGGCATTTGAAGTCTTCGGTAGCAGGCAGACCGTTGGAAGTGCAGCGGCAGTAGTGCGTGGTACTGTTGTACGGCATGCACGCTGCTTCCTTGCCGCATGACTGAAGGCCGCAAGTGCCCGGGAAATATATTGCTGAAAAATACCCACGGAATATAGAATACAAAAAATACCGTAGCAAGTCAATATTCTAGGTTTTAATGTTTGAAGAAACTACTAAACGGAATCGACTAATATTTTGACGGAAGGATAGATTATATTACCTATGGAATAACCGATAGGCTCGCGCTTCTACCAAATTTCATTTAGATAATAATCAAAACTTTCTTCATATTTAGATGTTTCGTATATACCTATACATGTAATGTAGGGATGCATTTATTCTTGATTATTTTCATATATCCTCGTAAAGATCGGCTAAATGCATAAGGATTATTATTTCTCCTAATACATTTTCATACATAACACATCTACATAATATGTAACATCTATTGGAACAATGGTTTCGGATAAAATGGATGAATATGGCCATGTCCATCCTATGGAAGTGATCAAATGAACACGACCAATAGAAACTAGCAAGAAATGTTCCCAAGACCTACTTGCAATGGAAATTGTAACCGTTTTAATTATAAAGTTAAATTAATTAAATGTTTTCTCTTGTTTATAGAATGAAGGCAGTATAAATGTTAGTGATCGACAACTTGACAACTATATGAATATCTAGGTAGGTTTATCTACATTTAGTTTTTTGGTGGTTATCGCAAAAAAATATTAAAACGACGAACCCATGCTTCAATTGAGCACTTGTCAAAGTGACTAGTGCTCATTTGTGCTATGCATATGTGTGTCAAAATGTTGCTCAAAATTGCATGCTCATTTCGAGCATGCTTGCATATTGACGAGCGGTCGATTTTTTTGAACATGCTCAATAGAACGCTTTTTGGCATGGTATTTTAGAGCATGCGTACCTACTATATGTAGGTAAATGCTTGAGGTTACCGAATACAGACTAAACACTGTCTTAAGTAGGTATCTATCTCGAATTCTCGACTACCTTTTTAGTGCCAAACCTAAGAATATTTCTAAGCAAAATCTATTTATATAAACTATTTTAAAACTATATCTATGTCAGTAGAGTGTCTTTATGTTATCACATCAGTTCGCTATTTTATACCGACGAAAAAAGAAGGAGGTGGATAGTTTTAAGGTATATATCTATTTGAAGGTTTTATTTATACCTATAAATAGGTTGCCGTTAGCTTTATACATAGAATAGATATTCCTTTTATTTACCTTCATTTGTAGGTCAGTCGGTAAGGGACAAATCTTGCTAGCTAATTTTATCGTAGAATGGAAACCTGAGTATCTACGTACGGGGGCGTTTTAAATAGGTTAGTGTTGAATAAATTGCTGTGCGTATATTTTCTCAGAGGTATTATGTATGTGGGTAGAAAGAAAGGTATCTTAACTGGGGTAAACTGAACTCTCTGAAGTATACCTACATATACTAAAGTTGAAGAAAGAACAGGAGCAAAAAACGGAATAGGATAGTTTCCACTGTAAGAAAATAAAAATCTAATTAGTCCGTCAGATAATGAAATAATATTACACACATATTTTTTTATTTTCTCGTATAAAGTTACAATACTTAAATAGTCACAGCGTGCTACATTTTGTAGCACGCTGTGACGTCACACGACATTTCAAATCAATATATCGTCGAAAGCATTTAATTTTGTAAGAAAAGAAAAAATACTTGTCTAAAGTTTTAAATTAATCCACCAGACGGACATAAAAATAAAATTTAGGGGAAATTAACTATCCATTACTTAGCGGTTTTTTTTCATTTCTTGATATATTTTATTTTGTATAAAAAATTATATATTTCCTTGCTGTGCCCGAAAGGGTCCACAACGAACTGTATTATTCTATGTTACCACCTAAGTAAAACATTGTGGAACGCAATAAAGAATTTGAATTTGAATTTTCAGATTTGCTTTTTACCGACTTCAAAAAAAGGAGCGGTACGGGTTCGATAAAATGAAAAAATCTAGTCATTTCGTTTCTTTGTTTCCAGGTGCATTATATGATGAATATTCAGGGAAGCAATATGATACCTATGCATTGACGTCTTCACTCCTTATTACGTGGGGCTCCAAGTTTATATCGTAGCTCATTGAGATAAACATAAGGCAACTGGTGATCATTTAATTGGATGAAGATATTAAGGGAAACTACAAGATTACGTAATGCGTTCACCATGCATCAGTTCAGGTAGGCTATTCTGTAACTGTCAATTCGAACTTTTATAGTGAGGTCGATCCCATTGTCGTCTGTCGTTGGTTGAGATTATTTACACAACCAATGACAAGATGGATTTCACTTCGATCTTTCAAATTGAATGGTTCAGAATAACCTAGTAAGACCCACAACTGGTAAAAGTGCGTGTTGTGTTTGTAGTAGGTCTAGATATGTGTAGGTACTTCTGCTGTTATGAAATATGTAACCATAACCTAACATAACATCACGCCTATTATCCCCGAAGGGGTAGGCAGAGGTGTACATTATAAATAAAAAAAAATAAAATTCATTTATTTCAGGCACATGCCCATAGAAAATTATACACAGAAAATAGAAATTACAAAGTACAAATTACAAAAATTATTATTAATAGAAATTACAAATTATTAATTAATTAATTACATTACATGTCACAAATGTCAAACTTGCAGCAGTCATACACAGCCTGGACAATAATATTGTCAGTATTTCGTATTCGGTTCATGAAGGAGGCAGCCCGTTTTCTCATCACTGCATAAAAGTCATCTACCCTATTCTCGGCAAACATGCCAGACGCACTACACCTCCACGGTAGGTTGAGCATAGCTCTGAATGCATTATTATACTGCACGCGTAACGCGTGATACGTCCGCTGTGTATAGTTCTTCCATAGGTAGCAGGTGTAGAACGCCTGACAGTAAGCCACGAACAGAGTGATCCTTACTGCGTTACTGCACCGAGCAATTATGCTACTGTACAATGTAACACCCACTTTTCACTTATTTATGTTATGAGTCCCATGTAATAGGGAGTGAGCCTATTGCCATATACCGGGCACAATTCTAAACTCCGTGCTACTACTGAGAATTTATAAAAACTCAGTAGTACTTTACCCCTTGCCCGGCAGTCGCACTTGCGACCACTCGGCCAACGAGGCAGTGTAGACATCTATTTATTTAATTGTTTGACGTTTATAAATTAAAAAGACAACTCAATCACATCTGCCAATATAATGTTTAGTACAAAACATTGGGGTTTCCATTAAAAGCGAATGGGTGGACGTCCTTATTTCCATAATTACTATGCGACAACTTGATTGATTAATCACAGTGCTGTGTTAAATTGTGGCCCTAAGTTTTCTGATCAACTTGAGTGATATAAGCATTTAAATAAATATGCTGTAAATAAAGTAAATGACAGTGCAATTAACAAATAAATGTTAGAAATGTTAGAGTCGATATTGCAACTGTTAAGATTCTGGGTACGAAATTCGACATGCATATGTGTGAATCACTGTGAACAAATAAACCAACACATCAGTGTTGGTAAGACCTGGTTGTCGTGATTGATGTATGAAGAATAGAAGATAAGATTTTTTAAAGAAAGTAGTAGAGTAGAGAGTCATGGCGTACGTGTATTTAATATGTATAGAGGTATATAGAGTTGTCCTGAGTTGTAGAAGTTCAGACAAGGATGCTTACTCTTGAGACCAATCTCAATGTCAATGCAATTTCAATCCAATAATATCTCAATAATTATTTAATGTGAAAACTATACAAATCTAATCTTAACTGTTAAAATAGCATTCCGAGTACGAAATATAAAACCAAACTCAATTTCCTTTAGTTCATTCAATATCCACGCAATACGGGTGCAATGGGCGCTAATGTTGCAACTCAAGAGTATGAGATTTTACAGTATTAATGTCGATCTATCGGAGTTAGATTTAAGAGTACAAAATTACAAAGATAAAGTAAAAAAATATATTTACTCGGTGGTGGCTCTTGTGTTTGTTCTGGCCTGGCTTCTTCCCTAGCGACCCTCGCCAACTTCTCCGCATAGTCTCGGAATTTCTGAAACAAATAAATTACGAATTTAGTTATAACAAAAAAAAAAACTTTAAATATTGGATGTTCTTTTTTATGGTAGCCACATTCCTCTTCATAATTTTGAATGTTACCGATTCAATAAGTGACGGTTATTAATTTTGTGCTACTTAGAAACCTAGATATAGCTATATAGGTTTTTTTAAGGGGGGAAATCATCGAATGACTGCTCCCGCCTAGTGTCAGACTCTTACTGACTAAAAACCACCCTGTTCCTTCTCCTGCACGTCGAGCCGGAGCCCCGGTTACCCGTTAGGTTCTCCGCGACAGATATATACATAGGTTATGGTTGCATAATGCCTAGGCATAAATGTGTTATGAAAGTGTAACAATACTATCACATAAATATGATTGTAAATCACCACGTCTTGACAATTTGATGATGTAAACTGAACCCAACTGCTAGGACTTTACGTAGATAATTGACTTAACTTTCTCACTCTGTCTTAATTGTAGTTACTGTTGCAACATTCGATTGACAGCAGCCTCGCCCTGAACATTTGATTACAAACGCTAAATCATATTTAAAAGCACCCTTCACGCGGGTGATTGGAATCAATCAAAACGCATTTTCATATTAATTGGCATCGGTAGAAATACCAGATTCTGACGGTCTGGCGCCAACCATAGCCACTTGTGGAATGGAACAACGCACTACATAATACACGTGAATACCTATAAACTACAACTAATCTGTTACGTAAATTATACAATAGAGGATCAAACAAACTATGCACAATAACAATGGCATGTAGAAACAACAGTTACATACATGGGTTCTCAGATCTCTCGCGACACGTCCCCGTCATGACAATCAGCTCATAATTAAACAATTAACGTAAATTAGAATGCGTTTTCACGTTAATTGACTACCGAGCAGAATGCATAAGACCATTAATTACCATTGGGATGCATTCATACCCTGAACATGGTAATCGAGACACGATCTCGCAATATCTTCTAATCTCTTGCACAGTCCACATTTAGCCACGAGTGCTGCTAGATTTACGGCCGTTTTGCACTTTAAATTGGGCGTATTACTGGCCACTAAGTATATAATAAAAATATTAGACGATCGTGCTGTGTTATGTTATCTGTGGAACGTTTGAGATGCTCGACGCGGAGTTATTTTGGCCACGTTATCGTGGAGAGTGGCTGCACTCCGCCTTGCCCTCGGGTTACGATAAATCAATAATATCGTGTACCTAAGTGAATTATCGATATTTTACATTTTATGCCTATTTGTTATCGTTAATAGGAACGAACTTAACGATCGCACTGCGCAATTACCTCTAGGCTACGTTGTTTGTCTGTCGCACTGTGTAATCACGCACTTCAATTACGGATATGAACGAGTAAGGAATCAGTCATTTGACATTCCCTGTTATTCCATTAACAAGTTATTTATATTGACTCAGACAGGTAAAATGATGATGTTCGATGTTTGCCTTGATTAACTTTTCATCAGGTAAATGGCGCCTTCGCGGTTCCATTTCGTAGCATTTAACGAACTGAATATTTATTCAATATTTTTTTACTTATTTAACAAAACATTTAATAAACTATTTATTTATTAATTTAATTAATAATTTAAAAGATGATCGGATATGTAAATGCTTAGTACCTACAAAATAGTAGTAGTAGTATATTTATAAGCATGTAATTGCGACTACCAGTATTAAATCGTCTGCGTTTGGAAAATAACAAGTAGGTGGTTAAGTACTGAGAACTTCTGAACTCTTCCACTTTCATACTTGAAAAGCTGTACAAAACATTAAAAGAGCTCAAGTTACACTAACTTAGAACGCCGTATTAGATTTTTAATTAAATATTTCAAAAGACGATCTTACCATGCTTACTGAGATCAAAGTGTTAAAAGGAAAACTGTATTTAAGCACTATAGAGCCAGGATTTTTACTTTTACCTACGCTTTGTTCGTAACTTAAACTTTACTCCATTTTCAAATATAATTTGTTTTATTTATTGAACGATGTTGCCTCAAAATAATTCGCAAGCAAGGGGTGGTAGATGTTTCTTTGTGGATGATTTACGAGACCTCTGAGGGCAATATTTCTTCTCGTTTAGTACAACACAGGTATCTTAATATCTAATATTCATGTGGTATATCTACCGAATTGAAGTAGGTTTGTTTTGTAAATATGTAGAACTAAGGTGGAGGCCTTTATCCGGTAGTGGACGTCTTCCGACTGTTGATGATGATGATGAATTGAACGCCAAGGAAACAGGCGTGAGGTTATGCATGTATATAAATTGTCCAATTTCCCATCTTCAAAATATTATACTACTTCTTTAGTTATGAAGTTCTATAGATAATCTTAAAGACATCAATGAAATTTTCTCTATAATGTTGACGATTGTCCACATCTTTTAGATCAACTTTTACGTAGGTATTCTGTCCTTTCGTTCATAAGAATGTTGGCGTACTGTTTACGTCAAGTAAAGATTTATGCTGTATCTCATTTCCGTCTCATTCAACTTTCATCTCAGTCTTTTTAAAACATTTAACCTTTTAAGGATTCTCGGAAAAAAAGTGCGTGGGTAGGTAGGTACTTTCCTTTTGTATTTTTTATACAAATGTTCTTTGCCGATATTACTTTTGTAAACAAAAATTTTAGTTTAGACTTTTAGGTAAGTGCTTAGGTAATTTGATGTTCTAAGTTTAATTTATATTAATAACTTAGGCACTTTAAGAAAAAAACTTGGCCCCATCCTTCAATAAGTGTTTATCGTGTGTTGTGAATGCGTTTATTACAGATAATTTTACATAGATAAAACACCCAGACTTGGAACAACCACAAAGAATTGTTGCGTGCGAGAACACATCCTGCGACACGTAGTATAGCCGTCTGTTGCAGTGTCAGTACCCACTGTGCTAAATGAGCAATCATAATCCAACAGATTCACCTAATGTTGAATCATATGATTCAATACAGATTTTTAGCTTTTATAAGACATAGTGTAGGTACAAGTAGATACTAGAACACGTGCTGATATCGATCATTGTCATCGCAATTCTAAGTACACGAGCAACGCAAATTGAAAATCGAAATCTCATTATACCGAGTTTGAGTTACAAGTATGGATCGTTCAATTCGTTGCAACGTGTTCGAATTAATTACAGCCATTCTATCGTATCGAACTTAATCTTTGGTTCTCCTATAACTGATTTTCAAACAGGTCCATGGTGTTTTTATAATATCTATCGTGAGACATACTAAATGAACTAAAATTGCGGGTTACACATGTCATGTAAATATACTGAGAAAAGGTCTACTAGTTTCAGTTAAAGTGAGCTGCGCGACGTCGCCGCGACCGCAAACGCTGCTCATGAGGAACAACCCCTCTGTGGTTCGAAACTAATAGAGCTTTTCTCACTATATTCACGTGAGTAACCCGCGATTTTAGTTAATTTATCTCCATGATGATTTTGACGATGGTAATGATGAAGCCTATACTCACTGCTCACACACGAAATTTGACTAATCAATTAATTGATAGCACTGTTATTGATTAAACGAGTATCTTTGATAACTTTGAGTCCTTTCAAGGCTTTAAATTCCTAGGGTTGTGAAGTAGGTACAATTATTTAAAGTTTACTTAAGACTCTTTGGGTACTTGTTCTTAGCTTTAATTCCCTGGAAATATACCTACAAATTTAGTTGTTTACGGTACCTCCTATCACGAGAATTAAAATGTTATAACAAAATCATTTCAGTAGACAAAAATTTTAATCCTTAGTATTTGCTTATTTCCAGAATAACAACACTAATTAAGTAATTAATTTACACTGGTAATTGGATTTTTCCCATATTTCGTTGAACAACCACTTAATCCAGTCTTTTTTTATTATTCGTTTTTTTATTAAGGCATTGTTCTTGTAGATTTACATAGATACTTGTTGGAATCCATTCGTTTTAAGTCAGGTTCCCGAGACAAATATCAACAACATTGTAGCTGCGACCATAGCTAGGAGAGAATATCTTTAAGATACAAATTACCATACTTATCTCAGATTGGAAAACATTCTACTACTTGTCTAGATTTGCTAGGCATTTATAAAAGTCTTGTTACTGATAATAACAATGTTTTACAATAACTATTGTGAGACATGTTGAATAAACTAAAACTTACGAGTTACTTACCTAAATATACTCAGAAAAGGTCTACTACTTTCGAGTCACAGAGGGGGGGGCTCTTCACATGAGCAGCGCGCAGTGCGCGGTCGTACAGCCTACCGCGCATACATCACAGAGAGAGTCCCTCTGTGACTCGAAACTAGTAGAGCTTTTCTCAGTATATCCACGTGGGTAATTTTTAGTTACGATGCGTTAATGATAAGATTCATTTGATTGTCTGTGGGAGATTTATACATGGATGACCTCATGCCAATTAAAAGGATGTAATTTGAAGAAAGAGTCTGCATAAATATTAAGTCCTCTTAGAATACAAACAATTATTAAAACATAAATAAATTTTACGCAAAGATGAATCAAAATTAAATCTATAAACAAAGATTGATTTAACATTGTTGTCAATAACGGTTTCTCGACAAATGTGGTACCTACCAACCAGTATTTTTATGACTTTATAATGCCTGCCTACGCCTCTGTTGTATTAAAGTGATATAGTGGGACGATTCTTCAGAATTTGAAGCTAATACAGACTAATTATGTAAACTGACACATTCATCTTTTAAAGTCATACCAGTAATGCGGTAATATGGATTTACGATCATCATTTTGTTGACTATCTTCTTAAAGGTGGTTACAATTATCGTCCGCTGAATACAGAGTGTAGTCATTCTTATCTAGCAAATTTTAGTCATTGTGATCTGTGTCGAGTGGTGTCCACGCACCATTCGGGAACCAATGCTCACGTTAGAAAAGCTATGTGACTATTTTTAAGGGTAACTTTGTAATTACTCACGGCAATAAGCTCTCTTTATG